CCTCTGGCCAATGATTTCCCCCTTTGCCGATTTCTACTATTTATTCAGCCTGCAAAGGAGTCTGGTAGAGACTACAAAAATGCAACAACTGACAAAATAACCTTATAAACAGGATTTTATTTACCTGTAGTCTACATGTACTAGAAGTCAACAATAAAATTCAGGATTTGAATCTTAAAGTTATTAGTTCAAGACCTGAAAATACTGCATATCATTTGTTATTTGTAGCTTTGTGGGTTTTTTTTCAAAAGTAGCAGTCTGAGAAAGCACTCTATGTATCAATTAGTATTCAAGAAAATGTCAAACTTTTCATTCTTACTATTTTATCTACTTATACATAATGCCTACCATGCAGAAGAGGATGAGACAGGCATGCCTGTCCTTGTCCTACAAGACCATCAACAACCTGGTAGCTATACCTGCACAGGATTATATCACAAAAACATGAACACAACAAGAGACCATGCACTGAAACATGTACAGGGTACTCACTAAGTCACATCACCTAAAAGTATACTTCCAGACTTGGATTCAGATAGTGCAACGGTGCACAAATTTCGTTTTGTTCTGTGTTACACTTTTATTTTCAGCCCCACCGCATGCCAGTCCGGCTACAGTATGCCATGTACCCTGGAAATTATACCTTAAATTTGTCCAATATATTCTGATGTAGATAGACAAAACACCCACTATTATGAGATAATTGTCATTGTAGATATAGTACATATAATATGCACTTTATCTTACTTTATCAGATCTTCATAAAAAGCAAATTGTGTAAAATTGACCTATAGCCACAGGCATTCATCGAGCATTAGCCAATATTGCAGTACCTTCATATCCCGCTAGGAGTGTACAATATCTATCCCACTAAGCAAAAACGCTTTGTTTTATTACAGCTATGGACCCGTCCCAGTTGAAAGCCAGACTAGTGTCCATGGCACCACAACAGGCTCCCATCAACACACAAGCTCTGCGTATGAGAGGACCGACCAAAGCTCAGATGAACACGCGGGCACAGCCCATCGCACCCAAGCTGGAACCTTTGGTATATCCTGATTTATATTTGCATGTCATGAAGAGAGAAAGCGTACCATGTTTTATTCATCCTGACCTTAAGTTTGTATACACTTGGATAAGTTGTAATAAAGAATCGTTACATTATTGATGAGAAACATACAATAGTAAAAACATCGGATACTTTTCCGTTGCAAAATCTTACCTTCTGTGCTGCCTTTGCTATTTTTTGTTGGCAGAGATGATACGCAATTTACGTAGGATTAAAGAAAAGGTATAGCAGCCATCCTTAGAATGAAGCAAGGCATTTTTAAATGAATATATCAGGTGTAATTTTAATTGAGACTCGTGTGTTCATTCATTCAAATTCTTTGTTATCAAGTTACTACCGTAAGTAGAATAGCTAATGATTGATTTTTATTAAAACTGGGTTATCAAACCTTAATGTTTAAGGGGCAACCTAAGAAAAATGAGTATTTCAAACCCTGCTATATTGCATTAATGTATTATGTTGTCAACATCGACGAAGGTTAGATATCCAGGTAATAAGATATGCCAAAAAGCAATTACTCAAGCAACTGGATATGATTTTGGAACTACATGTATTTGGAATTATGTTGTCAACAATATAACTGTGATCTGTTTGTCCACAGCCGATGTTACAGTCCCACCAGGAGAGAAACCAGCCTGCATACATCCACCAGGTAGCGCGACAAGCCTTACTCGCGCAGGGGAAGATCGTCCCCTCTCCCGTAGCCAATGGCAAGGCTCGTCCCACATCGTCTGGCAAGAGACGCAAACTTCACACGGTGGATCCGTTAGAACCCCCGCCTACGACAACCTCTCCACTGCCCGACCTTCCTGAACACTTACAGCACAAACAGGTCTGTTGCTGTACTATTTTTTGGCGATGCCTCAGGTGCAGGGCTGTGATTATCTCCTAGAAAAACTTGTTTTTCCTAGAACTATTGTAGAGTGGAACTCGCTGTCACCAAGTACTGTAATGTCACCCTCACACACTAGATAGCTTAGATGTACAATAGTTACAAACATGTACATGTAGGTGTAACAGGTCGTTCAGTGTAATATATATAACCAGCACCTGTCATGCCACTTGCCTGCAAAGCCAGGTGTATTATTCTGAAGGACAGTTACACCAGCTATACAGATACAGATATGATGCAGGTTTGAAGAAAGATACAGATGCAGCAGGTAATTTAGTATAATCATTTTTGTGCTGCGAATTTCAACATTATAACCTCAAAACTGTATTGACTACAGTATAAATCTTCTGTTGTCTGTCACCTACATGATGCTAATATGTTGTATCTCCCACAGGCCGCCATGAACGGCTCTGCTAACGGTGAGGTCCCCCCCACCATCTCTCCCACACCTCCGAAAGAGCCCCGCCCCTCCAGCGGTGGCCGGCGTCTGCACACCAGAGGAGCAACCATCGCTTCTCCCAAGGTAGTGTAAATCACTTTTTATGTTCGCAGTAGTAAAAATTCACAGTCTGAGAAAAATGGACATGTTTGCGGAACAATACGGTTGCTGCAGTTACAGTAAAAAGAAAGTCGGCGAATTATTTGTTCACGTTAATGATGAGTTCATGGTGCAGAAGCGACTGAAAAACCCAAAAATAAGAATTATGCAAAAAATTGTGATTTACAGTAACAGAAAAGACTTCTATTATTTGTTTATGTCAGATTTATTACAGTAAGGTACATGTAAAATGACAAAGGTAAACAGGAAGTTTCCTTTGTATATCCCAGTCAAAATCAAAACATCAATAGAATATAAATGATGATAAACAAGACTTACTGCTGAAGACCACAAAAAGAATTACATGAAGTAAACAGGAACGGCAAGTAATAAAGTAATCACAATGACATAGCACCTGTCCTTGGTGCTGAAACTGACGTTTAGTCTAACAATAATTTTTCTGAGAATTCTGAGTCTAAGTGTTTTTTGTTTCCTTGTTTCTGACAGGTCCAGGACATCACAGATCTGATCGAGTCCGGCTTCAGAGATATCCCCCAGATTGTCCAGCTTGTGCGACAGAAGCCTGGTATTGGCTTCCTGTACATGACCCCGGCTGTGGCACACTCATCCATCGAGTACAACCCCTACAACCTCAAGTAAGGACAAAAGTCATGGCTTGGTTGTACATTTAAAAAAAAACATAGTGCTTCAGTTTATTCTGAGGTTATTTACCTTCGTTTTCTTTGAAGTTCTGAAGTCCATATTAGTTAACTTTGGATAACAATTCTGACTGGTTTACTTTGCACTGCAGCACAGGTGTCGCTGCTATACAATGTATAGATGCATTCCCAAATGTACAATATTTATATATCTACACATCTACATGTCATGTAGATGTGTAGATATATAAATATTGTACATTTGGGAATGCATCTATAGCAGCAACACCTGTGCTGCAGTGCAATGTGAACCCGTAATTTTTGCCCTGAGGAAGGTGACAGATGGTCACCGAAACGTTGGCTGTGAATAAAACACTTGGTTGTCCAAAAAGAGTTTCTTTACTCAGGGACTTACCAACCTGATGAAACTATTCATGGATTTTTATGTTCCGCAGGATTGTGAGCCACGAGAACATCGACAGAAACGACTACTCCACGATCAGTCAGAAGGGCGTGACACACGTCCAGGGTGGGGAGGCAGAGTTTACAGACCTGGACCGGTGGGAACAGGAGCACGGCTACTACCAACAACTCATCAAGATCCCCGTCTTCTATCTGTTCCGCAAGTGGAAGGCCTTCACCACGTGGAGGAAGAACGTGAGGCACAAGAAGATCATGCAGTGTCGCAAGAGGCTGAACGAAAACCTCTTCATCGTCAATGCGGTATGTTGTACCTTTGTTTGTTTGTTTGTTTGAGTCATTGTTTATTTGTGAAAATTTTAATACTCAGATCTGCCTGCAGATCACTTTTAATTATTGTCATGAGGTCAAGATCAAACAGAATATAACAAGATACAGGTTACATGAATGAAGTGCTAGCAATTCAATACTTAGTATATATAGTATAAATAACTAATATTTTCAATTGAGAAGAGGATTGAGAAGAAAATTTAGTAGGTCAATGATATACTTGCTGGATAATAATGTGCAGTTTCCAAAATGTACACATTTCTGTTGCCACTACATGTATATTCAAAGAGTACTAGTAGACTTTTGTTAATAACATGTGAGAGTACCTGTCCTTGGTGCTGAAACGAACTTCTTAATATATTTGTAAAGCCCATAGCAGCCCAGGGCCTTGATCGTGCAAAATTATGTGTTAATACTCATGTTTTCAGTGGCACAGGGTCACAAAGGAATATGAAAAGGGGGTGAAGTCTGCCATCTCAGATTGTCTTGTCTAATGTGTTATTCTCTGTTTTCCAGTCATTGCGCCCAGCATTGCTGAATGTGCGAGAGATGTGCTACAGGATCAGTGACATGGGGCTGTGTAAGGTGGAGAAGGGACGTACCTACACACTGGAGGACTTCCGCCAGGCACAGATCACACAACTGAACGAGGTATGGTCATTAGAAAAATTAAAAAACTCTAGTTTATATCCGTGATCGTAAAAGTATGGTTGCAGGTACGCTGTATTACTCGAGTAGAATTTAAAATTCAGGTCAAATGATAAAGTTGGTAAAATTTCAGGTCAAATGAAGCGACCGGTACTACAATATAGTTTGTCTTTCTTTTCCTAATACCATTTATTTAACCAGGAAACTGTATAAAAATATTATATATTATACTTGGTGGTTTTCAGTGGGCCCTGTGGTTACAACCATTTCAAGCACAAACAGACAATGTAGCTATGAGACTAACAGAAAGTAAACTACATCTGATTTAATGAATAAGTGTTTAGTATTTGACATATGGAAATAAAGATATTCTTCATTCCAGGTTTGATTCTATTAGACAGTAGATGAAAGTATGTTGTTGTTGTTGTTTACTCAGGTTGCTGGTCGGTTGTCAGAGTTCCGAGATCTGGTGAAGGAAGTTGTCCGCAGTGCATGTCGAACGGCTCTGCTGGAAGCCGGCTTCACGCCTGACGACTACTTCTACGACACCGACACTCCGGGGGGATACCCAGGTTTGTCGAAGAACTCCTATGTGATACCATCCCAGTGTACAACATATACACTGAATATAGATTAGTTGTTTTTTTTAGATACAATTATGGCTAAAATCACAATTCTTTGCAGATCTATGCATGTCATTGAACAAAATATTGTAGAGATTTTTGCTTTTCAAGGAAATCTGATAATTAGTTTTAATAATTTAAGTTTTTGGCAACATCTCAAGCTAATATATTAAAAATGACAAGAATCAAAGGCATATTCTTTTTATGTTCAAACTAGTGTTTCATCCCAGATTTGCAAATGTATTGTAAATGTAAAACCTGTACTATTTTATGTTAGGTCCATGGGTGCTGCCATCTTGTATTTTTTTTATTTTTGTTTTTAAATTTTATGTATAGAGGATGGAGTCCTTAGGAGTGGAAGCATTTGTTATTTCAATTGTCTAAATACATTTTTACATTCCTTGTGTATACAGAGGATGCAGTCTTACGAGTAGAAGCATTTCTTATTTGAATTGTCTTATACATTTTTTTTGTGTGTACAGAGGATGGTGCCCTGGCCCCAGGGACAGCCATGTCCAGCATGTTGCTACAGAGTGACATGGATATCTATGGTGATGCCCCAGACAAGATGACTTATACAGAACAGGCCAACAAGAGAAGTCACTGCAGGTACAACATAGTTCTCTTATACAGCTTTTAATTCACCAACTATTTAAACATCTGCCTTCCAAACTTTTTGTGTTAAGAAAAGGATGAAAAGCAATATCAGTAAAAAAAAATCTCTCAAAATGATGCAGTACCAATCGTTAATACAGTTCAGAATGCAGTATGTTAAATCTAAAAGTTGTTAAGTTAAACTTAATATCACTGTCTTGAGCATGTAATTTTGGCCATCCATTTCTCGATATTAATTAGTAAGCAGCATCAAGTGTGACAGGCTGAATAAAAGTTCAAAACAGGAACTATGCGGCTCCAGATGTCTTACTGAGGGACGACTGCGCGTGCAAGATGTCCGTTAGCTTGAGGAGTGAATCCCCTCTACTATATACAGCATCAATAAGTGTAAATACTATAATTAAGTGTGCATTTTGACATCTCTCATACTGGTATTGGACAAAACGACAACTTGTTTTTTTCCAGACGGCTGACCTGTTTTATCCGGTTGGCTGACTACCTGGTGGTGAACACCATGCACGTTCTGGCGGTGAACTCTGTCTCCACACTGCTGAACTACCTAACAGAGCAGCTGCAGAACACACCCACCCAGGCCATCATACAGGGCTGGGTCGACGACATCAGACAAGAACCACGGGACGAGGAAGAGGATGAGGTGGAGATCGACAAGAAGGTAGTTTTCCTGCTCTTTTTCTTAAATATACTGTAACATCATTCATTATCACTGAGATTAAAAAATTTGCAGTGTTTTTGAGTGTTTTTTGCTGTGTATATGTTGTGTGTATCTTGTGTGCAATGGTCGAGCCAGTTGAGTGCTCGCCTTGCATTTGGTAGGTCCTGAGTTCGATTCCCGACCGAGTTCTACCAAAGATTTTTTTAATGGTACTTTCTCTGCTTAGCACTCAGCATTTGGGAAAGAGTATGGGAGTTCAACACACACCACTACCAGTGGACTAGCCCCCTTCTGTAGAGATGTACTAATGTGTGGTCCAATGGTTGTGGGGAGGACTTAAACTTTTATTATATTGTGTGTCCCCAGACTGAGACTCAGACAGTAGTGAGTGGAGTCCTGGGTGAGGAGACAGAGGCAGTCCTGCCTCCTCTGTTTGTGACAGAGTTCCAGCTCAACACAACTCACATCGACTTCCAGCCTGACCTCAGCGACTTCCAGGAGGGACAAGGAGAGGTACAGTACTTCATGAATGCTTTATCACTTTATGTTTGTGATAGCAAAAGTTCATGGTCTGAGAAAAATTGACACATTCGCAGAACTATACATTTGCAGCGGTGGAGGGTGCAACCAAAAGAAAGTTTAGCAAATTATTTTTTCATGGTAATGATAAGTTCGCGATACAGAAGTTAACTGTGAATATAAAAGTAACGCCAAAAAATTGTGATTTACAATATAGTCATAGTGTTGTCAACATTTTGATGAAGGTTAGACATCCATGTAACAACATTTCAAAGTCACTGACAAAAGGTAGTGGATGCTACCTGAAAATTCTTGAGTAACTGTTACTTTCAAATTGGTAAGATTAGATTTTGTGCCCATATTAAAGGGACTGACTTCAAATCTTTGCAGGATTATGAGTATGGCAGTCATAAGAGTGCCCGTTAACAATGTTGCTTGTATTTATAGGTGATTCGGAGGTTCCAGGATGCAGTGTTGTCTGTTGCCAACCTTGTACCAGACCCATACTTTGATGCCTTCACCAGGTCAGTAATACATGCCTTTTGGTACCGGTTAAGTTCAACAATAACAGTGACTGTGGAATGTATTCAGTGACAAAAAAAGGAACAACTTTCCATAAGCAAGAAGTAGTAACTTTTTGTATTACTAAATATGTAGTGAGAAACTATTCTGTGAACTAAAATATTACTGTTGTGTGCATTCTTGAGAATTAACTAAAACCTGTATATTATTACAACTGTACATGGCAATATGTACAATATTATTATAATTATCTCACTGACAACACCCTACGTTTGAAACTGCATTTTGTAAAATTGCAGCAGCAACACCTAGCTGCAATACAAATCAGAACCAGTCATTGTTGCCCTGAAGAAGGTGACCAATAGTCCCTGAAACATCAGATGTAAAAAATCACTAATTGTTGAATAAAAAAACCTTCTCATTCTGTTGTCTCCAGGCCCATCATAAACAACAAGTTTGAGGAGAAGACTTGTGGGGAGGGGCCAAGTCTGGCCACCATGTTTGAGGATGACAAACACTTACAGGGCATCATCCACAACATCAGGGTAAGTAACAAAACTTGTGTCACAAACTATCAATGACATGTCACTCATCCGTAACTGGATTACAATCAGGGACTTGTATTTGTTTTTTGTTTGTTTGTTTGTTCGAACCATTCTTTATTTACAAGAAGCTCAAATCAGCATGCGAATCATCTCCCATGTATTAGACCCGAGTTTGGGGTACTAGCTATTAGACTTGAATTCAGATTTAGCTATTTCATTGGACAACAGGTTTCATGTGATGATAAGTTGTGTCATAGTCATGTGTTATGTGAATCCTTCTGAAAATTGGAAAATCTCAAGAAATGAATAAATAATTATATAAATTCAACTCAAGTCCTTATCATAGGTTCAACTTTCCACAAATTATACTTGTAGAACTGTTGTACAGTATAAAACTAGAAACATTTGACCACTTTTCAACCATTTATTATCTAGAATCTGAGAACATTTTCCTGTTGTTTTCCAGGAATCGGTCAGTGCAGCGTTCGCCGCGGCCAGTCAGTACGCCGAGGCCCTGGAGCCATTCCGACTGTTCTTCCAGGAGAACGAAGCACTAGACCTCACAGCCATCAAAGAACAAGACCATGGTATATACATTACTAACATTATGAGTTTAATACTATTTATTTCATCATAAAACGGCTGGGTAGCCCATTCAGCTAGTAGAAGCTGCTTTCCAATGGAGCCCAGCATACATTTACACAGGACAAGATTACATTTAGTCAAGCAACAAAAGGTGGAGAACAGTCAAATGAAATCTGATGCATCAAAGAAAAGGAAAACCTAAACCAAAGCTGTAATACCATTCCAAACACAATATGGTCAGTCATTTTTACCATCGTGTCAAATTTCTGTCAGATATCACAAACTTCTATATAGCTAGTTGTTTGGAACTATTCACGAAATATTTTGTCACTGATGAAAAGTAGTGGATGCTACCTGAAATGCCAGACAGTTTTCAAAACCTATCCAGTTGCTTGAACAACAGATTTTTTGTGTAGTAGTACTGAGGACCTGTCCTTAGTGCTGAAACTGTGGTGCATTTGTCTCATTACCTGGACTTCTAACTTTCATTGACGCATCAGTGCTGCTGTTTGTTTGTCAATGGGAATGGAATGGCCACAAAACTGTATTGATAAGGGGGTGAAGTCTGCCATCTCTAGTTGCCTTGTTGTAGGGTTTTGGTTTGGTTGACTATTAACATCCTATGTTTCCCTCAGAAATGACAATTTTCAGCGACCTGATCTGAGTATGCTTCTGCAGTGCAGTTTGTTTATGTTCTGGTAGAGCAGTATGGGTAAGGGGGTGTAGTCTGCAATCTCTCATTGCCTTGTTGGGAAGAGTTTTGATTCACAGTTAACGTTATGATGTGTCTGCAGATGTGGCGTTCTTTGCGGAGTCGCTACAGCGCTACCACCGCCAACACCGAGAGGCAGTGGCCATTGCAGTACAACAGGCCCTGGGTATGCTGATGGTGGACGCCAAGAAACTCAAGAGCGACCTGATTCCATCCCCACTACGCTGTCTGGATGTAAGTAAAAGCAGTCAATGATTAATACAGCTCCAATTCTCTGAGAATTTTAGAAAGTAATTATGACATTTTTGGTAGATTTTATAAAAGCCTGTGTCTTGTCTTACAAACTTTCCAAGCTTGAGATCATTGCAAGTTCTAACATAGGACACTAAGTTATGTTGGTGGCTCAGTTTGGACCGTTGCAGTCTTTATTTTTACTTGAATTCAACTTTCCATTCTATGCCACAGTAGGTGTGTAGATGATATGATAATACATTAATTGTATTGCCATTTTTCTCAATATTTAGGTGAAAAACATAGTACAAATTCCCAGGCCCCCCAAATTGGTCATTTTGCTTTCATTTTTTAAAACTTTTCTTACAATTTTGAAAATGGGTAAATTGATGCAGTTGTGATATACCCGTGTGTAATGTTTTTCATGTCATTAATTTCAAAGTAACTATGACATTTCTGGAGATTTTAGAAAAGTCTTTACTCAACTGTGTCTCTTCTTACAAACTTGCCAAGCTTGAGATTATTGCAGTGTTCTGAAACCTAGGATACATTAATGATGAAGAACTTAATTGCACAACAATTGCACAAGGTGCAATGTATGGCAAACAATGAAATAAATGTGGGTGTTGAATAAGACCTAATGTCGAATAAAACCTAACATATCTTAATTATTCAAACAATAAAGGATAGTACAAGTCTTTGATAAAGTGTTACAATCGAGTGGGGTTGTTTGTGGCTCATGTTGGACCATTGTTATTATTTTCCAGGTTATCAATGAGCTGCTGCCAGTGTTGTCTAAGAAGAAGATGGATGCAGTGATAGCGGAGTCCCAGGATGCTCAGTACAAACTGGAGATCGTTCCCACCACTACTGTGGAGTTTGTGGAGAGTCTAACCTTCCTGGACGAGATTCAAGATAGGGTGAGTCAAACAGTCATTTTTTGACTGGGGCGGAGGTTTTTACGTACAGAACTTTAGGAGAACTTTATTGCACGACAATTGCACATAGTACAATGTATGGCAAAGTACAAAAAATGACAAACAATACAATTATAAACGTGTTGAATAAGACCTGAATATAGAAGAAAACCTAACATATCCTAATTACTCAAACAATAAGGGCTAGCACAAGTCACTTAGATAAAGTGGGGCTAATCACGAGTTTCTGCATGTATTCTAAGAACAAAGCAGTCTTTTATATATTTACCTATTTTTGCATTGTGGGAATCATAACATGGCTTTTACATAAGACCTAGTGATTTAAAATGTTGCCGTCTTGTCATTTTGTTGCAGAAAGTATGTCCTCTGTTAATGATGACTATTTTATTGATAGAACTAAATATTCTGATAATAAGTAATACAAAAATGTCCTGCTCTTTTTGTGTGAGATACATTTATGGTTTATGTAATTTCTACTAATTTAAAAGAAGTAAACATTTCTGCCAATCAATAAGACTAGCTGTTTGTGGTACAATATCTGAGCAAACACACTGCTGTTTCTAACTATGTGAAATGATATGTTTACAGATTGATGGCCTGGATGAAGAGGCCAGTATTGTGACAGAGATGTACAACCTGATAGAGAAATACAAGGTGCCGACACCACCCGAGGACTTTGCTGTGTACCAGACTCTACGCTCGACTGTTTCAGGTACTGTTTGAGTTTTTGGCTTGTCTGTTTGTGTGTGTGTTCCTTCAGTGCAATTTATAATATTATGTAACATCCGTGTCCATAATATCACCAGGGTCCATAATATCGCCACCTTGAGAAATAGTGTGCTTTAAGATATTTTTACTGAAACATACTTTTGGTATGCACTCCTGCACACCTCAAATGTACATACCTAGGGTATGTTGCAGTAAAAATATCTTTAAGCACACTTTTTCTCAAGGTGGCGATATTATGGACTGTGGTGATATTATATACACAGATGTTATGTTCTGCCAAAGGGCACATCTTCTAATTTACATTGCTTGAAGGGAATCGCATGCTTTGACTTTTCTTACAAAGAAGGAACTAGAACTTGTGAGGTATACTTTCAGATATCATGGCACATTTCTGTCTCTCACCAAATGATTGTTACTTTAAAACAGGAGTGCGGAACTGCATAGACAAGGCAGTGAGTGAGAGAGACGCCAACATCGACAAGTTCTGTACTCACATGGACAAGGACATCGCAGAGCTCGGCAAGGAAGTCCGCACAGTCAAATCAGAAGCACAGGTGAGGAACAAGCACTTCTCTAAGACTATTTTGTAGGGTGATACTGGGAAATAAGGGTTCACAAGTACACAATGCTTAGTGTAGATACAAGAATCTTATTGGTACTAGCACATTGGATCAGCAGAACATGCAAAATTTAATGTACTTTGCCATTGGCAGAACATACTTCAGAATCTACAGAACATATCATTTATGTTTGCATATTAAAGGATAATACCCTTTATGTAGTTTTCAAATATTGTGTCAGAGAAGATATCTTATGCAACAGACAAAATTTTTGAAGCAACAGTAACCTCATATACAACAGAAATAGGTTTTGCACAGGTGCGGTACATTCTACCAAAATTCTGGTGGTACCTGTCCTTGGTGCTGAACTCATGTATTGCAGAACGTACTTCATAATATGACTTATTTTTCCTCTCAGGATCCAAATATCCTAGACATCAACTCAGACAAGGAGAAGACCATCGTGCGTCTTCAGAACATGATGGGTCAGATGGAAGACCTACAGAAGAGAGCCTTCCAGTACAAGACGTACCAGAAAAACTTCAAGGTAAGCCTGAGTTAAGACTGAGGACGCTACAGACTATCTGTCAGATTTGATTCAAGATTTGAAAACTACTTTTTAAATTTACTAAGTTGATAGCATTAGAATGAAAGTTAAGTCTTCCTATGAAAATAGATTTGGAACTTCAGGCCTGCTATAATATCAAATCTTTAGGACCCAATTGTTACATAATGAGCAACTTAAAGGTTTGAACAGGGGCCTTGAACATTTACATATTACCCGCAATGCATCACACTGTGCATGCACAGTCCAAACTATGAACCTGCTTTTTTTGTTTACCTGTAACTAAAACTAGCATGTTTGAACTAATATATTAGGATGAATGTTGATCTCTTAACCTTGTTTTTTTGTAGGTTGAAGTAACCAGGTTTGATGAACTAGAAGAAGCTCATGCTGAACTGAAACTGAAGCAGTTGTTGTGGGTGTCCATTGGAGACTGGGACAAGCTACTCAAAGAATGGTTTGAGGTAAACTGGATTATTGTCACATTTTTAAAAAAACTTTAGCCTAATGTATTTATATGCCAAGTCTTGTTTTTCCTAGTATGAACTATTGTAGAGTGGAATTTGTTGTAGGATATCTTCTCTAGGAATCTTTAAAAACCAAGGCTTAGAGTTACAAATATTGGATTTTCAAGCCTTTAAAAATGCAATTTCCTACATTTAAGAGGAAAATCATGGAGTTGAGAGTGTTTGTTGGTGGTCCTTTGGATGCTTTTACCCAAGATTTTTGTCCACCACGGTTGATGGATTGGTTTAAAAACATTTCCATCATACATCACAAAGTTCCTGCAATTGACTGAAAAATGGGTGCTTGCGCAAGCCCTGGTATATACTCAGCTGGGTTATTGTACTGATGTTGGGCTGTTTTTTTGTTTCAGATGGAGTTTGAGGCGATTGACCCAGAGAACCTGAACCAAGTGGTGACCAAGTACAGCAAGTCTGTGTACCAGCTAGAGAAGGGCCTACCACCCAACACTGTGGTACCCTTTCTCAAGGAGAAGGTCGAGTCTATGAGGGACAAGGTCAGTACAAACTAGAATCCAAGACTTCATTCATTCATTCATTCATTCAATCATTCGTTTTTTATTCATTTTTTCTTTCCTTTAAACTTTTGAACTACTGTCTCAAAAACTACATTCATTTGTAATTCAATGACTCTAATTCCTAAACAAGTGAAGTACTGTTTATATTTTTGTGTGTTGTGCACACTAGACTGCTATCTCTGACTGCCATTCATTTACTCATTCATTCATTCATCAATCCATGATCCATTCATTCAGTTCTTTTATCATTTATTTACCATCCAATAAGCTTAGTAGCAAGCACTAAATAATTTCCTAAAATCTAGAAGCTGTAAAGGCTAAAATCATCATAGACAATTAGATCTGTAAGGCCTAAGAAGATAATGTTTCAGATTTCCTGACAAACCCTGGCAAAAAGCCACTGATCTTAGTCTTTCTATGGGTCCACAGCTGGCCATGGAAAAGAATTCCTACCTACTGACTATTTCTTTCCAGGCCCTGAATCAGAAACACAACATTTTTTCCTAGGCTAAGGTATGAAGTCAGAGCTGTAATGGTTTGTAAGTTCACTGTACATGTTCCTTCCAGGTACCAACCATCACCAACCTGAGGAACCCAGCCCTGAAGCAGCGACACTGGGACATCATTGAGACCATCCTGAACCACAAGTTCACTGCCGAGGAACCCCTGACCTTGGAGAAGCTGGTCGACCTTGAGGCGTTTGACCATGAGACTGAACTTGAGGAGGTTTCTGGTCAGGCATCAGGAGAGGCAGCGCTGGAAACCATGCTGAAGAAGGTAAGGAGTGTACAGAGGGAAATCAGTAAAGAAGGGTCTCACTAAGCACCGAAATGTACCGGAATCAACTGGAAAACAACATTCATTCATTCATTGAAACCCAGGAAAATAGTACATGTATGGGTATGTTTGGGTTTATTTTTAATGAGAAATCAATTGTTGTCAAGAGCAACATTAGATTTAGCTAAGGAATATCAGTAAAGAAGGGTGGAAGAAGGGTCTCACTAAGCACTGAAATCCACCAAATTCCACTGAAATACACAGGAAAACACCAACTAAAGATGTTAATTGCTACAAGGACAAAGTTAGGTACAGGTTCATGCATTTCTTTGCATGAAAGTTATTTCTGTTGATCAATTTCTGCTAGATTTCAGTCAATAGAAGAGAGTAAATGGTGGATTCCTCTTACTGTTTTACATTTCCTCTGTTGTCCTGGTTTTGTACTTATGTTGTAGGAGCAGTAGTGCATTTTAACAACAAAAAAGACTACAAAAGTCAAACAATGTGTTATCTCTGTGTTGAATATAGGTGGAAGACTCGTGGAAAACTACCGAGTTCATCGTCCTGCCTCATCGCGACTCTAAAGACGTGTTCATCCTGGGCGGGACAGACGACATCCAGGTGGTTCTGGATGACAGCATCGTGAACGTGTCCACCATCGCCAGCTCACGCCACGTTGGACCCATCAAGCCGCGCGTGGACGAGTGGGACAGAAACCTGCGCCTCTTCAGCGACACACTGGTGAGTTGAGGCTCTTCCACAAAAATTATCCAGTTATGGTAGTTGAACACACACCACTACCAGGGGACAGCACATCGGCAGAATGTACTATCGCTGCGTAAAACCTGAATTTTTCACGCATTTCATTTGATGTTTGGTGAACGTTGCATCAGAATTTTGCCCGTTGCAGACGATATCTTTTCCGACACAACATTTGAAAAATATAGACAGGATGTGGTCATTAAAAACCTTAAATGAGATGTTCTGCCAAAGTATCATATTATGCATACATTGTGGTTTCACACAGCCATAGTATGTTCTGCTGATGTACTCCAGTGGACTACATTAATTTTTGTACCTCCAGTGGACCACTATGCTATAGTGCATAGTACATGAAACTGTGTGACCTAATGACTATACAAACTATACAAATGGAGATGGCTACTGCCCTGTACATACAACATGTGAATTCCAGTTTGCAGTTAGGTCCAGTTACGCATAGATGTTCAAAAATGCTCTAAATGAAATCTGTAGTAGAATACCCATCTGTCAGAAGCTGATGTGTGTTTTTTTGTGACTTCAGGATGAATGGCTGACTTGCCAGAGGAACTGGCTCTACCTGGAGTCAATCTTCAGCGCTCCAGACATCCAGAGACAACTTCCAGCAGAGGCCAAGATGTTCATGACAGTTGACAAGGTAGGTTTTGGCTCTAACACGCAGAAAAACTATGCAAAAGTTCACGTTACAGCTGTCCATGTACTTAGAATTATCATGATAGTAAATGCCTTTTTTAATTAATTACTCTTTATAGCTCAACTTGTGTATGTAATGAAGACAATGCCCTTTTTTCAAACTGTAGATATTTTTTAAATCAACAACAATTTTTTCAGCAAATTGACTTCAAGCTTTTGAAATTTTTAACTTAAAGTTAGTATTTCTACATGTCCATTCAAAGAAATAGGAGGTAATAACTGTTTTCATTTTTTCACAATAATTTATTCTGTGCAAATATCTCTAAGCTTATGGCAGGTAGGAACCACAACTAGTTGTTTAGTAACACTATTTCTGCTTTGTCTGTAGTCATGGAAAGAAGTGATGAGGAAAGTCAACCGCCTGCCCAACGCACTGCGCGCCGGCACCCAGCCTGGCCTACTGGAAACCTTCAAGAACAACAACGCACTGTTAGAACAGATTCAAAAGTGTCTGGAGCAGTACCTGGAGTCTAAGAGAGTGGTGTTCCCCAGGTAAGATCAGTTTCAGTTGTATTTAAGAGTCATTGCACGAGAAAACCAGGCAAAACCAGGCAGAGGCCGGAAGATGGGGGTCGGCCAAATCGGCTCATACTTTGTATGTGAGATAGGTATGAGGAACTATTAACAGCCATATAGTTAAAACCCTCCAGGTATTTTTCGTTATGGAGTTCTGGGACCCCCCTCTGAGACCCTCAAAAATCTAACAATTTATGGCTGAAAATTACTGAAATTACAATGGACACCACGGTAATTCGGATAATGATATGAACATGGGGTTTCTTTTGTCACATAGCATGGGTCTTTGACTTTTACAAAACAAAAATTGAAGATGCAACATTGAAGTTAAAAGGGTATACCAGGGGGTTACCAGAACCAATGAAAACAGAATTTTCATCTTTCTAAATTTTAGTCATTTTTAAGTAGCTTTTTCTCCGTGACGCGGCAAATTTGATAAACGGTTTACCGTTGCTGGAAAGAGGAACATCTGCTGATTCAAAAACAAGTGTCGTTTAATTGGGCCACGCATAACGCGGGCCGTGAACGAAGGGTCTTTATGGGGGTTTTCCGGGTTTTGGACCATAATAAATCAGCTAACGACGTCTCTTTACGGGGTAAATCATGGACATTTTTGTGCAGCTGCATGGGATCAATGGACAACTGTTGAAAAATGCTAATAATAATTAGAAATATTCGTTGGGGCTCCACATGGGGGATACAAGGATACCTAAAAAGCGAATTTAAACTGATTTTACACAATTTATCACATTTTATTTCTAATTTTCATTAGTAACTACCTTTCAAAATTAATTTTGTGCATTCACTTTGTGCTAAATAATATGGAGGCTATGTATGGGGATTATCACAACACCATGTGTGAAACTAGCTACCATATACACAAGCCGCATGGGTGCATGCACTTAGATACAAGTACTCTAAATGAACACTATAGCAACAGGTCTAAGAATAAAGCTAAACACAACCGTAAAAACAAGAAAATTCAACTGAAGGCCACTGAAAAAATTACCCAGGCCATTTAGGATTGCTGTATACGTCAGCAGTAGGTCGGAAGATAGGAAGGTCTTTGAAATCCACTCATACTCAAGAGGGGCGTTCTTCTCACAGTGGCTTTCTGAATAGTGAACAGTTTAGCACTGTCTATTTAGAACGTCTTTTCAGCTTGTACAATTTGCTATTTACGAAATTATCATGAAATGAAAGGCTTTTTACTTGGATTGTTTAGAAAACATCTTAAATGAACTGAGCATATCGTAAATGCAAAAAGTCTGCCAGGGCTCGTTTGTACTGACTTGTCTGGGGTGCAGGAGCATGAAAATTTGGAATGTATCAGGAGAACCGTGCATATTTATTGTAAACGTCATTGGCCAAATCTTGATTTAAATATTCTAACTGCTAATCATCTAAGTGAAACAAAGTCAATCAAATTCATTTCATACTTAATTCTTACATCTTTAAAACATATCATATTATACATCTGTGATCTATAATATGTTAGTTCTAGAGTTAATAATAATTCACTTACTAGATGTAACATATTAATACTAACTAATATCCTCCGATTCAAGCAAAAACACTAATACACCAAAAGAAGGTACAGGTTGAGCTGTCCTAGATATTAGTACAACTTTGTTTTTCTTTCTCATTTGCCAAAGTCTCAAAAGTACACATGTGGAAAACTAAAACAAATTTCTACATGTCAACGTGCGCACAATGGTCTGTAGATCTAGAGAAAATGGTCTATTTTCAAAATAGGACCAGTGCTATATAAGGAAATGGATCCGGAAGTGTTTTGCTATGTGCTTTTAAATTGTTCTTTCCTCTTCGATGTTTTCAACCTTTTAGTTTTAGCACATTAGATTATGAAATGAGACTTTTCATCTCTCTTAATTTTAGTTCCCCAGAAACAGGAACACCATCCTTGCAGGGTAGAAGACATGTTTCAGTTCATTCAGAAACAAGTCTGGTCTAATTACTGGACCACAAATCACACATAAATGGGCCATGGGTCTATTAGATCATACAAATCGATCATAAAATGTCGCAGTGAAGGGCAATATATGGCCGTTTTTGTGTAGTTGGAGGAAAAACATGCATGCATAGATTTGTTGTCAAAAATTATGCCGGTTTAAGGGGGCTCTGCATGGGGGGAGGGCATAAGGATACTTGAAAAATTGAATTAATCCAATGCTTGCATAATGAAAATATCCAGTAATTTAGGCCTGAATTGTCATAAATATATCAAGGAATAGTCGATGATGGTACAGTCAATGATGGAGATACTTTTCTCATTTGAATTGATTGACATTATATTGTAATGCGATTCTAACTGGTCTGGGATTTTTATTTGGTGAAAATTTACTGCTGATTTGTTTTTAGATGACGGATTTTTTATGAATTAGTTTCCTTATCTTATAAGCTGAGTAGAATCAGATGTTCCTGTATATGTAAATGCTAACTAGTTCATTTAATCCAATAATGAAAGCCTGAGTATATTTGGCAAACCTGTATTTTCAGTGGCCTTTAGTTGAATTTGACTGTTTTTACTGTTATATTTAGCTTAAACGCCACATATTCTTTGTCCTATTGCTAGATTGTCCATTTGGAGTACTTGTATCTAGGTGTATGCACCCATGTGGCTTGTGTTTTTTTTTTGGTAGCTGGTTTCACAAATGGTGTTCTGATAAACCCCATACTTAGCCTTGATAATATTTAGCACAAAGTGAATGCACAAAATTAATTTTGAAAGATAGTTACTAATGGAAATTAGAAATAAAATGTGATAAATTGTGTAAAATCAGTTTAACCCTTGTCCTGCTGGCATTCCTGGCACAATATTTTTCAATAATTTCATGTCTTAATTAGATCATAGACCCCAAATTTTTTTTTGCCCTGCAGTGGCATAGTTACTTCCGCATTCGTTGCGTTTCGCTGCGGTGTGATGCGTTGCACGAGAAATACCCCCAAATCGTACCTATACAGGGTGATATATAGATGGTACTATATGTGTCGCGCGACATATGTTGCGCACAGCAGGACAAGGGTTAAATTTGCTTCTTAGGTATCCTTGTATCCCCCATGTGGAGCCCCAACGAATATTTCTAATTATTATTAGCATTTTTCAACAGTTGTCCATTGATCCCATGCAGCTGCACAAAAAATGTCCATGATTTACCCCGTAAAGAGACGTTGTTAGCTAATTTATTATGGTCCAAAACCCGGAAAACCCCCATAAAGACCCTTTGTTCACGGCCCGCGTTATGCGTGGCCCAATTAAACGACACTTGTTTTTGAATCAGCAGATGTTCCTCTTTCCAGCAACGGTAAAACCGTTTATCAAATTTGCCGCGTCACGGAGAAAAAGCTACTTAAAAATGACTAAAATTTAGAAAGATGAAAATTCTGTTTTCATTGGTTCTGGTAACCCCCTAGTATAGCCTTTAAACTTCAATGTTGCATCTTCAATTTTTGTTTTGTAAAAGTCAAAGACCCATGCTATGTGACAAAAGAAACCCCATGTTCATATCATTATCCGAATTACCGTGGTGTCCATTGTAATTTCAGTAATTTTCAGCCATAAATTGTTAGATTTTTTAGGGTCTCAGAGGGGGGTCCCAGAACTCCATAACAAAAAATAACTGGAGGGTTTTAACTATATGGCTGTTAATAGTTCCTCATACCTATCTCACATACAAAGTATGAGCCGATTTGGCCGACCCCCATCTTCCGGCCTCTGCCTGGTTTTCTCGTGCAATGACTCTTAAAATCAACTGGTATTTCACATACCCAATGTCACAGGTACAAATGTATGTCAAATGTTCACAGACACTACACACATTACATTATCAATCATTGAAATAACTATTATTAGTAAATGCCGCAGATAGAATTTAAAAATTGTGAATCAAGCATCATATTACAAGATGTACATAACACTTGTTGTAATGTAACTCGAAATACCAGTACACATGATGCTCACACAGTAACTTCAATGCACGTGGTATGAAAGAAAGATAAAGAACATTGGACAGTTAGTGAACACTATTACTTTCAGGAGAATTGCTCTCACAAACAAAACTGTATGTCTTAATTTTATTTATTGTGTACAAGTTGCCATACTTTTACCTGCTACAGTTGTCATGCAATTGACTTCTTTTATTATTATATGACATAGAATCCGTATACATGCAGCTGGTATTTCATATGCCCATTCAAACCTTTAAAGTTCATGGTACCTTCTATTTTAAGAATCATGATAATCTCATCCCATATGGTTTCTTGTTATGTTTTAGGTTCTACTTCTTGTCCAACGATGAGCTTCTTGAGATCCTGGCACAGACCAGAAACCCCCACGCCGTGCAGCCTCACCTCAGGAAGTGCTTCGATGCCATCGGTAAGTTTCTTCTCATAGTAAAGATGTTTTAAATTAGCAGGACATCATATATGGTGTCAGAAGTGGGATCTGAACCCATGCTTACATTTGGGCCATCTTTTTCATATGTGACTTAAAGATTTAAGGCCTTCTAGTCTAAAGAATAAGAGTATTCAAGTCTCTAATTCTCTCTTTGTTTCTTTAAATGACAGTTTGTTATGGTGACTGAACTTGTACTACTTGTAACAAGAGCTATCCAGTGATTTCTGACAGAAGAATTTTAGACATAAAAGCTGAATAAAAATGCCCATCTTATATCATACAGCCAGATATCCAGAAGAATTAACTGTCACAAATCTGCTTCTTGTCATACTGTCTTTATGTTGGAAAACTGCTAGACTCGTTGTGACCTTCAAGCTCAAGTGACCTTGTCGATTTCTTGCAGCTCGTCTTGAGTTTGGGATCCAAGCCGTCACCCCGGGAGACGGGAAGACCACGCCCACTGGGGACAAGGACGATGATGGCCCCAAAACTGTCAGCACTAATGACATCCTGGCTATGCTGTCACCTGAGGGGGAGAGGGTGCCGCTGGGCAAGGTAAGACAGTCTGAGACGATGAGGACTCTACTCAGTGCCTGTTTTTCCATCAATTTCTGGAACTTTGGAGTGTGTGACGGAAAAAGTTTTAAACCAGTCAGTCAACCTTGATGCACGAGTTTCATAAAAATGTTGGGTAAAAATATAAAACATTCAAAGGACCGGCAACAACCACTCTCAACCCCATGATTTGCCTCTCAGAATGTAAGAAATTGTGTTTTTGAAGGGTTGAAAATCCATGGTCTGCTAGACTCCCTTAGATTTCACAATGATGACCTTTCCTTTATCTTGACAGACAATATTGGTATGGCTAACTCAGCAAATATCATGATTTCACATACTGATCAATTTTCTACTTGTTATTTTTGCATTCTGGAACACCCCTTTGCTGTTTTGTTATTTCAGAAAAGCTGAAGGCTTTTGTTTGCTTTTCTGTCCAGGGTTTGAAGGCACGAGGAAACGTGGAGGAGTGGCTGGGTAAGGTAGAGGAGGCCATGGTGTCATCACTCCGCAAACTCACCAAGAGCTCCATCAACGACTTCACCACACGACCGCGCCACGAGTGGGTCATTCACCATGCCTCTCAGGTCTGTATATGCTGGCATTTTGTTGAATTGACATTAAAAGAATGATTCAGAAATTTAACAGTTTTGCTGCCCTGAAATAGCACTGGATGACTTTAAATCGTATTAAGTATATGATGATAATTTTTTTTTGCATGTTAGGATGTTGTGTAGTGTTCTAAAATTCTTAAATGTGATTTATGTCTTTGTCCTTTGTAACTTGTTCTGTTGGGCTACGTTGGAAATCAGTTGTCCTAAACTGAAGGTACTACTCAACTGTTTTTTAAGATCAATAAATAAACTGTCCTGTTTCTGTTTCTATGTTCCAGGTTGTCCTGAATGTTTCACAGACCATGTGGTGTCGTGACCTGACCGAAGCACTGACCTGCGACGGAGACAGACAGAAAGCACTACAGGAACAGGAGGACAAGAACTTTGCAGTAAGAACAACGTTTCTTGTTGCCGCTCTGTTGGGCAAATGTAGCAAAGAAGTGACTCTATTGGAGACCTCTACAAGCAGCATGTGTTAGCTACCTGTATATGGAGTATAGACTAAGGATATTTAATATGCATATGGCTGTAACAACAAGCTAAAAATGTACATAACTTGTACCATATAAACCTTGGCAAGGCTTGCAAAGTCACAGAAGCCACTCAAAATAGAACCCCAAGTCCTACAAGAATCGTACTCTAAGTACAGTATGAGATAAACTTGACTGACGTTGGCGTCGTCTGTTCTTTTTTCAGCAACTGAACCGATTGGCTGAGCTGGTCCGAGGTGAACTGCCCAAACTGACCCGTAACATCCTGGGTGCCCTCATCACTATTGATGTCCACGCCAGGGACATTGTGACTGATATGGTCAAGGCAGAGGTAAGGGGAGAATCATTAACACCTTCTGTGTGATCAGGGCTGAGGTAAGGGGTGAATCATTGACACCTGTGTATTCATCACTCTCTGATGTATACTAATCAATAATGGATAATAAAGTTAAATTGGATAAAGCATTTCACAGTGTTAACTGTTATTGTTGTTACTTCTTTGCAGTGTACTTCTTCACAGAAGATTGTAAACCCAGTACATATTTCTTGGGTCTTCAATGAAAATTTTTCCACCAGCATAGAACCCTCCTTCCTTCAGTGTTGCTGAATTGTTGTTGATTTTTTCCGTAGGTTGACAGTGTGAACAGTTTTGACTGGCAGAAGGTACTGAGGTACTATTGGGACCTGGACCTGGACAACAGTGTCGTACGCTGCTCTTCTTCCATGTACATCTCTGGACACGAGTACCTCGGCGCTTGTCCACGTTTGGTCATCACGCCTCTCACCGTAAGCACAATCTAAGCATTTCCCTTCAATATCTATAACTTAAAATGCAATAATGAAGAGATTATCATAGTTTTCTTATTGATGTGAAAGTGGTGCCAAACATGTTACAGTCAGTGGTATTAGTTATGTAGGGAAGTCTGTCTGTAGTCAAGACAAAAGGTTTCTTTCAATAGAGCTGTCCCTGTCCTTGGTGCTGAAATTGGGGTTCAGGGAAGTTTCTCTTGTCACATACTTGAACTGTGTTTAATTCTGAAATTCTAAAGAATCGTGTCTTTTTTATATCTTTAGATGTACAGTATACTGTAATTTCAGTATTATTTATCATGAAACTTGAACTTGAATTATATTTTGCAGATGAAATGTATTAATCAAAAATTTGGTTTTCCTGAAGTTTCTTCTCCTTCTTCTCCTCGTGCCATTTCGTCAAGTGGATTTAATTTCTTCATTTTTGGGGCCAAATGGCCAGAAATTTTGTATGGTAAAATTAGTGTAGTATGATGTACAATGTATTAATTTTGCTTTCAAACAAATATAAATAAATTGGCCTTTCTGAGTAAAAGAAAAGGTCTAGTTTTCTGCAGGTTAGCCTTTCTTTTTTGAGAACTTTTTATTTTGAGGAGTTTTCTGACCATGTGTGTTGTTTTAGGACAAATGTTACCTGTGTCTGATGGGAGCGCTACAGTTAGACCTGGGAGGGGCTCCAGCCGGCCCAGCCGGTACAGGCAAGACAGAATCCACCAAGGATCTCGCCAAGGCCCTGTCCAAGCAGTGTGTCGTCTTCAACTGCTCTGAAGGTACGTAGTCTTAACTTTATAGCACACTGAAGTAGCCATTTGGTTACCAGTTCTGTATTGGTTATGGGGTTAGTCAGCAGGGAGAAGGTTAAGTCAAAGTAGAGAGTTAAAAAACACTGTCCTTTTTTTATTTATCACATTTTTGTTGGATCAACGTTGCATCAGAATTTGTCCGTTGCAGACATTATCTTTTATGACACAACATTTGAATCCCTAAATACATGATATTCAAAAAAAAATTCAGTAGGGCATTCTGCCAAAGTGCTAGTCACAATCTACAGGTTTTGTGCAGGTGCAGTGCATTCTGCTATCATGCTGAGTTCATCCAAATTGTACAATGTTTTCCTCAGGTCTGGACTTCAAAATGATGGGTCGGTTCTTCTCTGGTCTGGCCCAGTCCGGTGCCTGGTGCTGTTTTGACGAGTTCAACAGAATCGACATCGAGGTGTTGTCTGTGATCGCACAGCAGCTGCTGACCATCAGAAATGCTAAAGCAGCGAAGGTAAACATGTCACTGTCTAGTAGATTAAAGTATTGCTATATTCCTTTTGCTTTTTACAGTTATATAATTTCGGGTATAGAAGTATTGTTTTGGTGGCTAAGCTGTGTGTTTGTGTGTCTGTCTGGACAAAGTAAATTGACAGCTTGTGGGTGGGGAAGGTTGACAGGTTGAATGACAGGAGGTCAATAGGTCAGACACAGGAAATGGGGTCACTGTGACTTCTCTGATTTTTGTTGAATCTTTTATGTATCATTTTTCTTCACAATTGATCTTACATCTGATGTTCTGATTTGATGTATTCCAGGTTTCACGCTTCATGTTTGAGGGGCGTGAGATCAAACTGGACCCGACGTGCGCTGCCTTCATCACGATGAACCCCGGCTACGCAGGCCGTACTGAGCTGCCAGACAACCTCAAGGCCCTCTTCAGACCTTTTGCCATGATGGTGCCAGATTATGGTTAGGGGCAACCTATCTTTATTTGTTACATTTTTCTCTGGATTGCACTTTCTCTGGATATGAATTGTATGAAGAACATTTAGTAGATATCATATTATAAGCCAGACAATCATTTTCCATCCATCCATTCTCCCCATCCATCCTTTCTTTCCATCCATTCCATCTATCCATTCTTTCCATCCATCCATTCTCCATCCACCCACCCACCCACCCATACATCCATCCATCCACACACCCATCCACCCATCCATCCATCCATCCACCCATCCATCCATCCATCCATCCATCCATCCATCCATCCATCTCTCCATCCATCCATCCATCCATCCATCCATCTATCCTTCTATCTTTCAATCTATGATCCATTCCCTCCATCTAAAATTGTGTCTACTAGTCATTCATCAGTGTGTAATGTTTGTGTCCTGTAGGTCTGATTGCGGAGGTGATCCTGTACTCTGAAGGTTTTGAGTCGTCCCGCCCGCTGGCTAAGAAGATGGTGCAGATGTACAAGCTGTGTTCTGAGCAGCTGTCCCAGCAGGACCACTACGACTTCGGGATGAGAGCGGTGAAATCTGTGTTGGTCATGGCCGGGTCGCTGAAGCGAGAAAACCCGGACAAACCGGAGGACGTGGTGCTGATCCGAGCCCTGCGTGACTCCAACCTGCCAAAGTTCCTGAAGAATGACGCCCAGCTTTTCCAGGTCTGTGTTAGAATTGGGTATATGGCATCATACTGCATTTCTCTTAAAGATTCAATGTGTTATGGATGTATGATCATAAAGAATTTGTGTGCAGCAGTATATCAATTATTTTTACATTTTTACAGATAGTATGTAATAATACTATCATGAACATTCTGATGATTCTAAAATCGATACTTCAGCACCAAGGACAGGTGCTGTTACACATGTATGATATTGTACAGTACCTACATGAAATGATTCTTTCTGTAACAGTTGTTGTTTTAAAAAGTTCCTAAACTTTCATGAACTTTCTGTCATTAAGTTCTTGAATTTTCTTATTAAATTTGTAAACTTTCTTGATAAATCCACCATCCCAGTAACAACTTTTGGCCACCATTGCTTGATCGTTTTTGATGAGTGATTTTTTCTTTTTTGCATCAAATCAAGTCTTCTACAAAGTTCTACCAAACACAGTTGAGCTTTCTGTTGTTAAGTTCTTGAACTTTCTTGATAAAATCACCATTCTGCTATCAACTTTGAGACACTTTGGACATCATTTTGACAAGTGGTTTTTCTTTGCCTTGAATCAAAAGTTCAAAAACTATAGAATATGATTCCCACAAAGTTTAACACATTTTAAAATGTTGTTTGCTGTTTTAGGCCATCCTTCAAGACTTGTTCCCAGGTGTGGAGATCCCAGAGCATGACTACGGCCAACTGCAGGCTACGATAGAGGAGTGCATCGAAGCCCAGAACTGCCAGCCTCTGCCGCCATTTGTCAAGAAAGTCATCCAACTGTTTGAGACGATGCTTGTGCGTCACGGCGTGATGTTGGTGGGACCGACCGGAGGAGGGAAGACAACGGTCCTGCACACATTAGGAGATACGCTGGGGAAACTCAAGGAACTAGGTCAGTCTTCCTTTCAACATTTTTACATTTTTTTTAGAAAAAAAAATTTTTTGGAAAAATTTTTTTTAGAAAAAACATTTTTGGCAACACTTTAGGGGTGGGGGTATTATTTGTGTTTTTTTTTTAGAACTAGATAATGAGCAATTTTCAGTCATTTGATCTTAAAGCCTAGCTCGGGTACTTTTGCCAACAAGGTTATAATTACGTTTTTGGAAGTGTTTGCATATATGTGATCATGATATGTTCAGAATGCCTACTCGATATCCACTTAAATCTATAGATAGGTCTTGTTTCTGGCTGCTCTGAATCCGATACAGCAGGAACTATGGAAGAGGGTAAAAACTTAACTACTGAAAGTCTGCGTCATTACAAAATTAATGACACAGCATCCAAAGCATCCAGTAATTCCACCTTTACCAAGAAAATTCTTTTTATTTATGCTTGGAGTTGAAAAAATTGAAATATTTGTTGTTCTGTTGGTTGCAGACCTGGGCAACCCTCAGTACCAGCCTGTAAGGTTGTACACGCTGAACCCCAAGTCCATCACTATGGGTGAGCTGTACGGAGAGGTGGACCCTCTTACACTGGAGTGGAAGGATGGACTCATGGGCATCTGTGTAAGTACATGACTGGGAAAACTGTGTCATTCCTAGATATACAGGCTTGCTGGCAACATGTCCTGCACTCTACATGACGTTTAAGTTATCACTGTTAGCTTGTACAACATCTATCTTGTTGGAAGCATACATGTAGTTGATAAGTAAAACATATACTAGATAATCTGATAAGCGTTATTCCTGCACATAGAATACAAATTAGCTATTGTTTAAAAGTTCCAGGAAGTTGTAGGAAAGGTGTTAAATAACTGCTAGTAGACTAGGTCTAATCTCCAAGCAGATCCCTTTCGGTGGCAAGACAGTATCCATTAGCCAGAGAAGGTCGCTGGCCACCATTGCTGGGGGTAGCGACAAAAAAACGGCCACATAAGTATAAAAAGCAAACAATCATTCCCCCACCACTCTGCTTGGAGAGGCCTACATGATGTAAACAGAGAATTAACAGTTACATTTGCTTAAAAATACATTCAGCATTTCTATAAGACGGTATGTTTTCCCCCATCCAGGTAAGAGAAGCATCCAGTGACACGAGTGACGACCATAAGTGGGTGATCTGTGACGGCCCTGTCGACGCTCTGTGGATCGAGAACATGAACACTGTGCTGGACGACAACAAGATGCTTTGTCTGGCCAACAGCGAGCGGATCAAACTGTCCCCCTGGATCCACATGGTGTTCGAGGTGCAGGACTTGGCTGTGGCTTCACCTGCCACTGTCAGCAGGTAGGCATTGCTGCAGCTATATATAGGCAAAGGACTAATTTGCATACTTGGGACAACTCACAAATAGCTGTCCACAGTATGCAAATAAGCTATGTGTGATCATATATTTGCATACTTGGCATAATTTAGACGTCTACCTTTATCATTTGACTTGCATATATATGACTGGCAAATCTAGTTCTAAGTTAGCATGAAAGTTCATCTGTGTTGGTACAAATCATTATGAAATAAAGACTGAACTTTAACTTCCAACACTAGACATAGAATTGGGACTAGTTCTAAGTTGTCCCCCGATGCAAATGTTTAAAATATTTGCTTTCTTGGGACAACTTAGAATGATCCATATTCATTTGACTTGCAAATTAGCATTAGGAATGTTGATATAACATTATGCAAATGTTGTATAATACTTTGCATGCTTGGGACAACTTAGAATGATCCTTAATCAATTCACGTGCAAATTAGCATGAAAAATGTTGATATAATTAATAACATTGCAATTATTTCACACAGATGTGGCATGGTGTATGTGGACCCTGATGAACTGAGATGGAGGCCCTACGTGCAGAAATGGATGGCGGAACGTGGGTCAAAGTTCAAAGAGGAGACGCAGGCGTACATCATGGAGCTATTTGACCAGTACGTGGAGAAGGGCCTGCAGTTCGTCAACAAGAAATGTGTGCAGGCCATCAATCAGGTAAGCATAATATGCTGTAAGAATATGTTTATGAAGGTTACTCATCCAAGAATGCAAGTCTTATAAATCTTGGTTTAGTCCAACAGAGTTACAGACATTTCTACCACTATTCACTCTCCTTTAAAAAATAAACGAAAGTTTACATTCAGATATGCTGTAGTATAGCACAGACATTGCACATTTACAGGCTTTTTCCTCATTGCCCTCACACAAAATATAAACGTAAGACAGTGCTCAAAAAGCTACAGTACAAAGCAATGTTATCAGAGATGTAGACCTTTGAGTTTTAATAAGCTTTGCAACATGGAATTGATTAAGTCTTGCTAATGATTTTAAAGTTTTTCAAAAGTATATTCTGAACAAGTAATCATTACTGATGTAAAATCGACAACAATTTTATCTTTTTGTCAACATGTAGTAAAATGTTCTGGGTTAGTGGTTAGGACTACTGATTCCAAAATGTAAGCATAGGTAATAATCATGATGTGTTGTTTCCAGGTTGACATCAGTAAGGTGAACACCCTATGCTGCCTGTTAGAGTCGCTCCTATTGGTCGGGAAGGATGTTGACCTGAAGCAGGACCCAGCTAAGCTCCACCCCCTCATCTGTACCGTGTTTGTGTTCTGTTACCTGTGGTCTGTGGGAGGGAACCTTCTGGAGCAGTTTTTCGATCCGTTCGAAACCTTCGTGCGACAACAGATGGAAGACAACCCTGATGCAAAGGTACAGTAACTATTTTTAACCAACAAATTTCCCTGTCCTTGGTACTGAATATGCCATCTTTTACCAACTAGTTTCCCTGTCCTTGGTGCTGAATATGTAATCTTTATCCAACAAGTTTCCCTGTCCTTGGTGCTGAATATGTCATCTTTAACCAACAAGTTTACCTGTCCTTGGTACTGAATATGTCATCTTTATCCAACAAGTTTCCCTGTCCTTGGTGCTGAATATGTCATCTTTAACCAACAAGTTTCCCTGTCCTTGGTACTGAATATGTCATCTTTAACCCACAAGTTCCCCTGTCCTTGGTGCTGAATTTTCATTTCAATATTTAGTTTTTGGCAGCTAGATTTCACGTCACTGTCAAAATCATGAGTGATTTGCAGTTAATTTATTATCATTTTTTTTAGATATAAAGCCTTTTTATTGTGGGAGATCATCACAGAGACAACAAAATGGGCAACATAGTAACTTGACATGCCTTTACACAGAAACTATACAAGTTACATGCCACTGTTTAGTCGGATTTACTGCAAGATACCTTATTATCAAAGGGAACTTTAGGGAACTCCATCATATGAAAGAAAAATAAGTGTAGTTACTAGTTAGAGTATGTGCATGTAATTTCTTGGAACATACTCCACTGTAGCTAGCATTACATTGTTTTCTGTCAGTGATGATAACATTTTTTCGTTTCAACATCTATTGATATAGCAAGGACGTTCCAATTTCCTCTCCATTAAAAAAATTTAGAACTGAGTATTTTGACTCTCCCTCAACTAACAGCTGTATGCCGGAGGTGACTTGTGGAGTTGCTTCATCGATTTTGACTCCAAGCGGATGGACATCTGGGAGAAGAGAGTTCCAGTCTTCAACTACAATGCCGAGGTTCCCTTCTTTGACATCCTGGTTCCCACCATCGATACGGTCCGCTTCGGTTACCTGCTGGAGAAACTGCTAGCTGTGGGGAGATCTGTGCTGTACTCGGGGACCACTGGTGTGGGCAAGGTAAGGACATGTGTAACATAGATGTAACAGACATGTAACAGACATGTAACATCTAACATACATGTAACATACATGTAACATACATGTGGGGAGATCTGTGCTGTACACGGGCACTACTGGTGTGGGAAAGGTAGGGACATGTGTTTTAGCTGTGTCAAGAGAGCTGTAGTTGTAACAGTTATTGGTATCAAGTCTAAGTTTATTAGTAGTTTGTCATCTCTCTGTCTCTCTTTCTTTCTCACTCACTCTGCAGAACTTACTTGGAACTGTTCCCTGACTGTACCTCTTCTCTTCTTCCTGTCCTCTATAACTAAAGGCAAGGTATTTCTATCCAGGTTTCTGTCTAACTTCTATGAATTTGCTTAATTAGCTCTTCCTTGAAAGTTCAGGGCTTCTCTTTTTGTAATTGTGTTCCCACAAAATGAGTTTATGTATGATCTAGTCCTGTTTGCCCAATAAATTTTAATTTTACTTTAACCATAGTCTTACAAACTGTATTTTTTACACTAATTTAGATTATTGTACATTATTTGTACGACAATGTATATTGAGTATCAGTTTATCAAATGTAAATTACTATACTTAACTGAAAGCAATAGTCCCTAAGACCACTAGCTGTCTTGAACATAAAGAATACAAAAACTATGAACAGATATATATTGAACATCTGACAATATTACAGTAAACTATGCTCTCACTTGCTCTAGCCTGTACACAGTCCACTGATACTAAATGCTATAATTTGCCACCACCCTCCCCAGTCTGTGATAGCCCGAGCTATCCTGAATGACCTGGCAGAACCTAAAGGCTATGTGCCTGTCACCATCAACTTCTCAGCACAGACCAGCAGCAAACGCACTCAGGAGATCGTGGAAGGAAAACTGGAGAAAAAGAGAAAGAACATCCTCGGTATGTTTTTGTTTTGAATTCATATCAGTCTTCATTTTATTACAACAATGTTTCAAAGGATGTCTTCATGATCATTGTACAGTTACTATTTGTTATCATGTCTCGGATATATTTGGGAAGCCTGAGTGCTTAACAGTTTCTAACTCTCTAAGGGAGTGAAATACAGTCAAAACTGTACATAGTCATTACCTATAGAACCACTCGGCCATTATGACCATTTATTTTGGTCCAGGTCACCCTTGGATAATTTTTAGCATTGACGCATTAAGAATCCTGTCTATAGTGACCACCTGTCCACATAGACATGAATTTTCAAGTTTTTTGTATTGGTCCTTTTACATGTAGCATCAATGACCAAAACAGGAGCAATTTCTTTTTACATTGTATAACAAGGCTCCTTTTTTTTTTCTTTCACAGGTGCACCCGTCAACAAGAAGGTAGTCATCTTCATCGATGACTTGAACATGCCCAAGTTGGACACTTACGGCTCTCAGCCACCCATCGAGCTCCTGCGCCAGTACCAGGACTTTGGGGGCTTCTACGACAGAGAGAAACTCTTCTGGAAGGAGATCAAGGTTAGAATGACACATTTTGGCGATGCCTCAGGGGTGGAGCCTGCTTCATAGTGGTTGATATTCTGAATGTTCCACCTAAGCAAGAGTCAACAGTAGATAGAGGATCCCTTTTTTGGCTACACCTCGGAGGGGTGGTCCAGACATCTGTAGCTACAGGTATCGGAAAAGGGCTATTTTGAGTACTATATCTGTATCTGTATAGCCCGTATAACCACCCTTTGTGTAACACACCAGCTTTGCAGGCACACAGTGTGGCATCAGTTGGCTATGTTACATCGAACGACTAAGTCTTGTTACACCTAACCTTTGAACATATAACTCTAAATATTGTTTAAAGCTTATATATCTCTTCTTATGAATACAAACTGACAGTGTATGCAATTAGTTATTTCTGTTTTTTTGTGTCATCTGATTCAAACTTGATTGGATTGTTGATTCCAGGATGTGACCTTGTGTGCGGCCTGTGCCCCACCTGGTGGAGGTCGTAACCCCGTGACCCCTCGCCTGATTCGCCACTTCAGCATGCTCTGTCTACCATCACCCTCAGAGCACAGCCTCAAGCATATCTTCAAGGTAAGACCACAAAGTTGGCCTTCAGTTTTTGGCAACACCTTGGGGATGGAAGACTTCTTAGATTTAGTGATTCCACCATGTGAGGATTATGTACATTTTAGTTGGAGTACAGAAGAACGCTTGATTATTACCAAAATTGCATTTAGAGGTTGTTGTGTAAACATAGCATGACCTATATACATTTGTATATAGGTCATGTAATAGTATGGGCAAATATTGTTATGAGGAGGGAGATGGACTGAAATATGTTGTATTTGCTCCCAAGCAAATGTTGGCCTTTGTACATGTATGTCCTGGGTACCACTGTGAATCTGTGCATTAGGTCACTCACCTGGTCTATCCTAGATAACTAAAAAAAAGAAAGATAATCAAAAGATATAAATCTGATGTTGATGTTCTTTCCAGGCCATCCTGTCAGGGTTCCTGAAGGATTTCCCTGCTCCTGTGAAGCAGAGTGTGGAGTCTGTAGTGTCGGCGGCTGTGGAGATCTATGAACGTCTCAGCACAGACCTCCTCCCGACCCCCGCCAAGTCACACTACGTCTTCAACCTGAGAGATCTGTCCAAGTGTATCCAAGGTGAGAAGGAGAAATGTGGTTGTTGTTGTATGTTCACTCACACTCACTCACTCACTCACCGGTTTATCGTCTGTTGTTCTTCAGAATGTTATTGTTAAGCAGTATTTCTGTGATTTGTGTAATGAAGTATTAAAGAGTGTGGGTCAATGTTGTGTGTGTGTGAATGAGGCGTTGGTCTTTACCTTTTTTAGGATTTCATAAATGAATCATCTTGTAGGTGATTTATGATAATTAGTATGCAAAACAACATCCTTACTTTGTTATTTTTCATATAGACCTGATATGCAGAAAGACAGGAATATGTGTCTTGTTTAAGCCTGCTTTCTTTAATAGTATAAAGTTCAAATCATGATGACAAGACAACTGATGATATTTGTCCTTCAGGTATCCTGCAGAGTGATGCCGGGACCATCCGTGAGCAGCTGCACATCTTCAGACTCTTCTGCCACGAGTGTCAGCGTGTCTTCCACGATCGTCTCATCAACGATGAGGACAAACTGTTCTTCAACACCATCCTGTCAGAAATGTCATCCAAGCACTTTGGACAGGTTTGTCAACAGTTTACTATGAGGGTCTGCATGCCCTTTTTTGTAGGGTGTAATCAGGCCTTTTCAGTCTTTGTAATCCATCTGCAGTCACCCAAAATCAACGTACATGTAATTCATAATCATTACATTAGCCGTAACACATAATTAGTCATTTTCATTGTACATAAAGTGCTCATTAAGCAGTGGATGTTTCAGACTTCTTGTACTCAAGTGACATTATATTTTATTAGAACAGTGTAACATTTTATGCACTTTTTATGCATTTTATACAACTTGTGCTTGAGAAGACTTTGCTTTAATTTCTGTGACATGTTTTCCACACAGAACGTTGAACCGGAGACGTTTGTGAACAGCCCCATCATCTTTGGCGACTTTATCAAGATGGGCGCTCCGGCGAACGACCGCACTTACGAGGAGCTCAGCGACATGAAGAAACTGAAGAACGTCTTGGGCGACTACTTAGACGACTACAACATGTCCTCCTCCAAGGAGATGAAGCTGGTGTTCTTCGTAGACGCCATCCAGCACGTGTCCCGTATCGTGCGCATGATTCGGCAGGAGCGCGGGAATGCACTTCTCGTGGGGGTGGGGGGCACGGGGAAACAGTCCCTCACCCGCCTGGCCTGTCACATCTGTGGATACAACTGTTTCCAGATCGAGCTCAGTCGAGGGTACAACTACGACGCCTTCCACGAGGACTTGAAGAAGTTGTACGACATGGCTGGTCTGAAGGGAGAGAACACCGTCTTCCTCTTCACTGACACCCAGATCGTGGTGGAAGAGTTCCTTGAAGACATCAACAACATCTTGAACTCTGGAGAGGTAAGTACAATGTAGCACCAACAAGTCGGCTTACACTTGGTTGAGGATATGAAATACAAATGTATGTCAGCTTTCAGACTGTATGATTTGGATTGTGAAGTTTTTCCTGTTTGACTGTGTATATGCATTTCAGGGTGAGTGGCTGTAGTTCAGTTGAGGCCAATTATAAAAGAGGTCGTCAAATGTTGAAAAATCATCTTTGTTTTCAGTTATTTTGCAGATTATACTGTAAATTTCAACATACTAGTTGGTTGTGTTTCTCTAGTTCACCCTACTATAATTTTTACCACCTTGTCACCTTGGGGTCCTCAACTATAGAAATCCCTATAAGGGAAAAACTGTGTTCTGCTACCTCAAGTGCCCCCCTCCCTCAGATACATTATACAAGTCTGATCCTACCAATGTTCCATATAATATTATATGACATTCACAAAATAGTATCTATAGTGCTAGTTTTGATACATATAACTTATAAGCATTACTGAAGACATTAGAGTAGATATCAGCTACAAGTAGATATCATGTACTCAGAAACGCTTGCTATACATTGTACCTGGTGCAATAAAGTTTGACTTTGACTATATTCCAGGTCCCCAACCTGTTTGAAGCCGATGAGTTTGAGAAAGTCCTCGCTGGCACACGCCCAAAAGCAAAGGAGGCTGGGATATCGGAAGGGGACCGTGACGCCATCTTCAACTTTTTCATTGGTCAAGTTCGCAACAACCTGCACATTGTGCTGTGCATGAGCCCCGTCGGCGATGCCTTCCGCTCCCGCTGTCGTATGTTCCCATCGCTTGTCAACTGCTGCACCATCGATTGGTTCGTCCAGTGGCCACGGGAGGCGCTGCTTTCCGTGTCACAGACATTCTTTGAGCAGGTAATAATATCTGTATCTGTATCTACTCTCCAAGCAGAGGTTTGGGTTATTTTTGTCGTGTTTTTAGGCTTTTTTATCAGGGTTTCTTTTTTGGACTGAAATTTTTTGTTCCACCCAGCACATGCCAAAAAAATCCAAAACCCAAACCTCTGCTTGGAGAGTATCTGTATCTGCATAGCTGGTATAACCGCCATTCAGCGTAACACACCAGCTTTGCAGCCACGCAACCACTTTGGACCAGACATCTGTCACCATGGCAACTAGTACTGTTACAGTAGCAGACACCCTGTGTTCAATAGTTTAGTACCATTTGAAGGTTAACATTACGCATTTACTTTGCAAATGTTACCTTAGCTTCTAGTTACTAATAGTCATTTTGTACATTTTGTACAAGCTAGAGTTGCTAATAGCAGCTAATACCACCCCACCACCCCCAAACAATTCTTGGTTGATAACTCTGATACTTGAAGACATGACTATTTCTTGTCCTTTTCTGAGCTGGTATGGGATACAATGATCATTGTACTTACACATGTACATGTAGTGTTTGGTACATGTAGTAGTGATGGTACGTCCACCAATTTATTACTCATTTTGTACATGCAACCAGTTTACTAGACTCTGAACATTTTGTGCAGGTGGACCTGGGCTCGGATGAGATGAAAGAGAAGATATCGGAAATGTGTATGGAGATTCACGTGAGTGTGACTGACATGTCGGAGAGGTTCTACGCAGAGCTGCGGCGCCGGTACTACACCACTCCCACCAGCTACCTGGAACTCATCAACCTCTACCTCAGCATGCTGGGGGAGAAGAAAAAGTGGGTAGAACTTATGAATTGTCTTCTTTTTTTGTTTGGACCAGTAAACCTGTGATAATCAACTACAATGTATAAGCTTCATAAAACTACAATCATATATACGGTGACATGAGTCTAAATCCCTCCTGCTATAAAATTGCAACATGATGTAATTCAACAATAGTTGCCATGGTGACAGACATCTGGTTCAGGTCATTGACCTTATTTGTTTGGAGAAGAGGCAACAGAGCAAAAACAATATTTATGCAAATAATGCAAATTAGCATGTTGTTTTTCTATCAATGGTTGTTTCTTAAAAATCAGCAGGTTCCTTGACAAAGACTGAAGTTGAAAATTTGGATAGATCTCAGTACATTCTGCTGACATACTAGTATTACATGCCATTGCAGCTCTTCAAAACAAAAAGTGTTTAACAGTTGAACTAATGTCTGAGCTGATATCTCCTACAGACAACTGGTGACGGCGCGTGATCGTGTGAAGAACGGTCTGGAGAAGATCCTGGAGACTAACGAGCTGGTGGCTAACATGGAGCAAGAGCTCACCCTGCTGGAGCCGGAACTCAAGCAGAAGTCTGAGGACACAGACGCTCTCATGGAGAAACTCGTGGTCGACCAGGAGAAGGCTGATCAGGTGGGCTTGTTTGTTTGTTTGTTTGTTTGTTTGTTTGTTTGTTTGTTTGTTTATTTAAAATGGAGAAACTGGTGGTCGACCAGGAGAAGGCTGATCAGGTGGGCTTGTTTGTTTGTTTGTTTGTTTGTTTGTTTGTTTATTTAAAATGGAGAAACTGGTGGTCGACCAGGAGAAGGCTGACCAGGTGGGCTTGTTTTATTATTACTTCCGGGTAAGGAAGTATTGTTTTGGGTGGCTGAGTTGTGGGTTTGCGTCTATCCTCTCATGGAGAAACTGGTGGTCGACCAGGAGAAGGCTGATCAGGTGGGCTTGTTGCAGATTAAAGTATTGTTTTGGGTGGCTGAGTTGTGGGTTTGTGTCCGTCCTTGCTAATTGTTCTGGTTGCATGGTGGGTGGAAGGAAGCCTGACCATTATACGGTTTGCAATGTTAATGATATATATTAAATTGAATTACATCATACAATCCCTCCCATAGGTCCAATACATTTACAAAAACAAAACTGATTCTTTTTGTTTACAAACATCCGGTTAATAATCTTCCTGGAGTCCCTAATTCAATAGTCATTTAACATTTATTTGATACAGTACGATAGAAAATTGGAATCTGATAAGTGATAATATTAAATAGTGACTGTCACTAAATTCCTACGAATATATTTGCCCTTACAATTAGCCTTAACTAAAATTACAGAAGGCTAGCTAAGGTTTACATTACTTGAACAAAATCTAACAATAAGATAAACATGTCACAGGTACGGAGAGTGGTACAGGAAGACGAGGCCGTAGCTCGTGTTAAGGCAGAAGAGACCCAGGCCATCGCTGATGATGCACAGAAGGACCTGGACGAGGCCTTACCGGCACTGGACGCTGCTCAGAAGGCTCTGGACGCCCTGGACAAGTCGGACATCTCTGAACTCAAGGTGTTCAACAAACCACCAGACATGGTGATGACTGTCATGGAGGCCATCTGTATTCTACTCAAAGCAAAGTAAGACCTCAGACTTGGAAATATTTTTTATTCAAAATCATGCTGATGACACACTTTAAGTCTTAGATGAGTGGTTTTATGGATGTGAGGTAAATTTTGTTTCAGACAGAAGGTTCTAAATGTGTGACTTAATGCAGCATTTTTGTGTTTTATGAGGAAGTTTCTATTAGTATTCTTCTTGAATGTTTTCTTGGAGCTGTAGACATTCAAAGAGGGTAAACAAAAACACTTGGCCTATACTTCAATGAAATGCAAAATATAGAATGTCAACATGGCAACAGACACAGCAATATGTGTCATGAATATGCTCTATACATTGTAGCATCCATTTATGCCTGTAGTTGTAATATGACTTATAGAAAGGAAATGAGACTTAAGGTGACATTACAGTTAACTTGACAATGTTTCTTTCCCCAGGACGGACTGGGCATCAGCAAAAACCCTTCTTGGTGACCCCAACTTCCTGAAGCGTCTACTGGACTATGACAAAGACAACATCCCCAACGTTCTGCTCAATAAACTGAAGAAATACATCGACAATCCAAACTTTGTGCCAGAGATTGTGGAGAAGACATCCAAGGTAAGGCCTAGGGAAAACAGTTGTGTTTTCTGTTTCCCAACAAATCCTAAAAAAAACTACCAACCCTAGCCTTTTTTGTGTGGATCTCTACAAGGGGCATAAATTTTTCAAGCTGATCGACCTTTTCTAGTTCCTTGATCTGACACTTCAGTGATGAAACGTTGTGCAATCAGTCCTACAACTTTGAGTTTGAAAAAAATAAGTGTCCTTATGCAAGCTTTACTTTGTTAAACTGTGTGTATCTGTTCTAACCTGGTACTGTCTCGTCTGTAGGCCTGTAAGTCCATGTACATGTGGGTCCTTGCCATGGACCTGTATGTTTGTATCTGTTCTAACTGAGACTATCTGGTCCACAGGCCTGTAAGTCCATGTGCATGTGGGTGCGTGCCATGGACCTGTACGCCAGGATTTTCCGCCAAGTGGAGCCCAAGAGGGAACGTCTTAACGCAGCGCAGGCCGAGCTGGACGCTACCATGGCAACTCTGGCAGAGAAACAGGCAAAGCTGAAGGAAGTAGAGGACCAGGTAATGCACTTAAGCAACATACAATTTTCTTTTAAATTTGTGGATTTTGGTGACACCTGAGCGGTGGAGCCAATGAAGCAGTTCAAAATGTTGTCTGATTGCTGATCTACATATTTGACAAAAGATAAATTGCACTTGAAGAGAACATAACTGGATAATGGCATTCAAGAATTAACTACTAGCATTATCATAATAGAGCCCTAGTGTTTGATGTAGTGTGTTGAATGTCAGAATTTCTTAGTAATACGAACAGTAAATTGTTTCTGTGTCAAATTGTTATTCTTAGATGTACAACTGTACTGTAACCTTGCATTTGTATTGACAGTTACTAGAAGAATAGGTCATAAAATATTACACAAGTCAGGACAGGCACATTGTAACATTTTTGTTTGCTGTATTTTTTAAATTGTAGGAAACCGATGTTTTGATTGTGCAGCTAGACCAGTTGCTGAAAGTTTCTATTTTGTCCAGATTGCAGAGCTGCAGGCCTTGTACGATCACAGCGTGGCTGAGAAAGATCGACTGGTCAAGCAGATGTCGCTGACCCAGGCACGACTGAAGCGTGCCGGCAAACTCACCACTGCCCTGGCGGACGAGCAGGACCGTTGGACGATTAACGTGGCCGAGTTTGAGCGCGACCTGGGGAACGTCGTCGGGAACGTGTTCGTGGCCGCAGCCTGCGTGGCGTACTATGGCGCCTTCACAAACATATACAGACAACAGGTAACTATTTGTGATCAGTTGATGATGACTGGTTTATTGATTTAAAACTTTATAAAGAAGACAGAAATAAATAAATAAATAAATCTTCTTTATATACTTACTCACATATTGTATTATATTTAATTGTCCATGACCTCTGACCTCCAAAACAGTATTATCTTGATTGAATACTTAATTATGCTTTGTACTTAAGTCTGTTGTAAGTTTATACTGTTAATTGATTGATTTTAGCTTTTGTCGTACTTGTTAGTTTATTGTATTAGTATGTTATATTGTGTGTGTTAATCTTTGTACTGTTTGGCACCCGAAATCAGCTATGCTGCCTGGGTGGTCAGTGTATTGTCGTGTTACAATTGAATTAAAATTAAAATAAAAAATAAAGTAAAAATCACAACACATGTACGCAGGGTTAAGTTTACTAAGTTTTCTATTGTATTTCCAGCTTGTAGATGGTTGGGCCCAGAGATGCGAGGAGTTGGAAATCCCTGTTTCACAGAACCTGTCCCTGTCCAGCGTCATGGCCGATCCTTACGAGATCCGTCAGTGGAACGTGGACGGGCTGCCACGTGACAACGTCTCCATCGAGAATGCCATCATGGTGACGCGCGGCCGGCGCTGGCCACTCATGATCGACCCGCAGGAGCAAGCCAACCGCTGGGTCCGAAACAAGGAGGCGCGAAACGGCCTCAAGATCATCAAGCTCACCGACAAAGACTTCCTGCGTACGCTGGAGAACGCCATCCGGTTGGGCATGCCCGTGCTACTCGAAGAGCTCGGAGAATCGCTGGATCCAGCGCTTGAACCGATCCTCCTGAAGCAGACCTTCGTACAGGGCGGAAGGCTTCTGATTCGTCTGGGAGACAGCGACGTGGACTACGACAAGAATTTCAAGTTCTACATGACGACCAAGATGGCCAACCCGCACTACCTACCCGAGGTGTGCATTAAGGTCACCATCATCAACTTCACTGTCACCAAGTCTGGCCTGGAGGATCAGCTGCTGGGGTACGTCTGGCAGATTTCATTTTTAATTTTTAGGTGCTTTGCTGTAAATGTTGGTATGTCATACATGTACAGTAAGTATACAATGTATCAGAAATGAAAAGTAGGTGTAACAGTGGGGTTCAAGCCCTATCAACTTAATGATCAAACTACAATGTACAATATAGTCTGGACCTTTTAGCCTTGAGATCAGTGAATTGGGTTTGTGGGTTCGAATCCTGGGTTCGAATCCTGACCTGAACTACACAGTGGTTCCCATGCCGAGAATCAAACCCAGGACATGCGGGTTAAACTAAAGCCACAAATCCTAATCCCTAGACTACATGGAGACTTTACTACTTGCAACCTCTGCATTTTACTAATCTTGAAGGACATGAACTTCTCTCAGCAACAGATGACAACTTGTAGCAGTTTTGAAAGCTAAACTTTGGTTGCTACTCCTTTCAAACTCAAAGAAGAAGACCAATGGCTGAAAATTAATTAACCAAGTGAACCGTGTGGTTGCAGAGATATGACCAGTGAAGTACATTGTATTTTTAACTTTCTCCCTGCTGCCTAACTCTATAACCAATACAAATTTGACAGTAATGGTTATGGAACATCATCAATCATCAAACATTGCCATCATTGTTTCAAAGAAAGAGGCAGAAAAGAATTATCTTAGAACAGCCAAAAAGGCAGCAAGTGAAACTGTTACAGAATCTGAAGATTAACTAACTGTAAACTGTTTGTTTGCAGAGATGTGACTAGTCTGGAGCGGCCTGACCTGGAGGAGCAGAGGAACCAGCTGATTGTGAGGATCAACGCCGACAAGAACCAGCTGAAGGCCATCGAGGACCGCATCCTCAAACTGCTGTTCCACTCCCAGGGTAACATCCTGGACGACGAGGAACTCATCAACACACTCAACGAAAGCAAGGTGGGGTCACGGCTGATACTGTATCATTGTATCTGTATATCTGTATCTGTATAGCCAGTATAACCGCCTTTCGGCGTAACACACCAGCTTTGCAGGCATTGTAAAATCATCTCTCTGAGAAATGTGACTGTAGTACAACTGGAGTACTAAATATACAATACTAGACCTTGCAGTCTCACTCTACTAGTCTGGTAGAGTAACACTCAACGAAAGCAAGGTGGGAGCACGGCTGTAACTTTATCATTGTAAAATCATCTCACTGAGAAAAGTGACTGTAGTACAACTGAGTTACTACAATGTATACAATACAAGACCTTGCAGTATCACTCTAATGTTACAGTTATTACTGTACTGGTACATTAAGACATGACTACACTTCCCTTGTGTGTGTGTGGTTTGTAGAATACAATAAGATTCTTAATGCTTATTAATATTATAATTATTACCTTCGCCAAGAAGGTTATGTTTTCAGGGGCGTTCGTGTATGTGTGTGTTTGTGTGTGTGTGTGTCTGTCTGTAAACACGATAACTTGAGAAGGCCTTCATGGATTGTCTTGATACTTGGTAGGTGGGTAGGTCTTGATGAGACCTCAAAATGATTAGATTTTGGACACCCTAGCGGCTTGTTATGGTACTGCAGCTGAACTTCCGGTTTTGATATCTCATGATCTAGACATGCTATGGTGATGAAATTTGGATGGTAGGTAGCTCTTGTGCTGGGGAAGAAGTGACGTGAGTTTAGGCCCCCTAGCGGCTTGCTCTGGAACTGCAGGGATATATTCTTGAAAATATTCAAAAGGGGATAACTCAAGAACCAGTTGACGGATCGTCGTGATTTTTGGTATGTAGGTAGCTTACGTGATGCTTGATATAATTATGTGACAATTATGCAAATATGGATGTGATTTGCATAATTTATGGGGAAATTCTATAAATCATCTGCATTCCATGATAGGACAATTGAAGCTTGTGACATTGGTAATTGACAACGAGAGAAACACAGGAAGATATTGATTATGTTAATAATGACTTAATTTGCATAATTAATGAGAAAATTTTATAATTATGTAATGATAACTGCCTGGAATTTCATACTTGTGGTATTTGAAAGTTAAATTGAGGTGAACATCATTAAACATAATTTATTCAAATCAGGACCTCATTTGCATAATTTATTAGGAAATGCTAGAATGCATTGTTTGTTAATATAAGACTGTCTTTTGGTTGAGATTATGATAAAATGATATAATTCATGAAAATTAGGTTCCTATTTCTTAAATCGGGGGAATAATCTAATGTATAATTTGTCAGTCATAAAGATTAACATCATTTGGCGAAGGTATGAGATCGGGGAACTCTAGTTTATAATAATATTAGATAGGAAGAACTATCAAGGGAGACTGTAAAGTGGTCACATTGACATTGGCCATGTAGTCACCAGCATAATGTAGGTTTCACTACTGCCATTCTTAGTGTATTAGCATGTAATATGATAACACAAACAAACAAACAGAGTCTATATATTAAATAAAAATAGTACCTTGCAGTTTCACTCTGGTGCATTGTGTTGTGACCAATTTTGCCTTATATGCATACTGATGTGTTTTTAAAATGGGGTACAAAGTGTCTGTCAAGTAATAATTGCTTTGAAATTCATAGATTCCATTACAGTACAAATGTGTGCCTCATCCGCATACTTAGGTAAAATAATAATTATTCTGGTTGCCCATGACAGGTGACATCTGGTGTGATCTCCACCCGGCTGGCAGAAGCAGAGGAGACGGAGGCTAAGATCACCACGGCGCGAGAGAAGTACCGTCCCGTGTCGGCCCGCGGCTCCACCATGTACTTCGTGGTGGCGTCCCTGGCAGAGATCGACCCCATGTACCAGTTCTCCCTCAAGTACTTCAAACAGCTGTTCAACATGACCATCGAACAGAGCGAGAAGAGCAACGACCTAGGAGTGAGGTTGACCACTCTTCTGGATCAGACCACCATCGCGATCTACACCAACGTGTCGCGCGGCCTGTTCGAGGTGCACAAGCTGGTCTTCTCCTTCATGCTGTGTGCGGAGATCATGCGGCAGGAGGGGACCATCAACGACGTTGAGTGGAACTTCTTCCTGCGCGGCGCCGGCAGCATGGACCGCACGCGCCCGGATAAACCCGACGCAGACTGGCTGTCGCCGCACATCTGGAACATGTGCTACGACATGCATGACCTTGTCCCGGCCTTCAAGGGCCTGACCACCGACATCACACAGACACCCATCTGGGTGAAGATCGGGCGGTTAGAGGTACGCTTGAACCCCAACGAGTGGGACGGGTACGGCCCGGAACCCCCGGCGTACGTCCCACCTGAGGAGGGGCAGGAAGCTGTACACGAGGAGGGCAAGGTCAAGGGTCATTGGAACGACCGGTTGACGAGCTTCCAGAAGGTCATCATGGTGAAGTGTTTTATGGAGGAGAAGGTTGTCTTCGCTGTGACCGACTTTGTGACGGAGAACCTGGGGAAACAGTTCGTGGAGAGCCCGCCGATCGACTTGGCTACGCTGTATCAGGACACGACACCGAGCGTGCCGCTCATCTTCATCCTCAGCACGGGTTCGGATCCCATGAGCGGCTTCCAGCGGTTTGCACGGGAACGCGGGTTCCTGAACCGCATCCAGGCCATCTCGCTGGGACAGGGACAGGGTCCCGTGGCTGAGGCTCTGATCGCGAAGGGTACGGAGCAGGGCGACTGGGTGTTCCTACAGAACTGCCATCTGGCGCAGTCCTGGATGTTACGGATGGAAGAAACCATCAAGGACATGCAGGAGAACGTGGACAAGTTACACCCCGACTTCCGCCTCTACCTGTCCTCCATGCCTGCCGGACACTTCCCGGTCTCCGTCCTTCAGAACTCGGTCAAGGTCACCAACGAGCCGCCCAAGGGCCTGAGAGCGAACATGCGGCGTGCGTTCACAGAAATCACCCCATCGTTCTTCGAGGAGAACATCCTGGGACAACAGTGGAGGAAGGCCATCTTCGGTCTTTGCTTCTTCCACGCCACCATCTTGGAGCGTAAGAAGTTCGGGCCTCTGGGCTGGAACATCAAGTACGAGTTCAGTGACAGCGATCGAGAGTGCGCCCTGCTGAATCTGCAGATGTTCTGTTCCGAGGGTTCCATCCCCTGGGATGCTCTCTTCTACATCACCAAGGAGGTGAGCTGTAATCTTCTCATCATCATAGACTAAGTCCTTTTTTATCCTGATGGACACTCTGTGAGTGTGAGCGACTAAACTTGCTCTACTCCTGCAGGGTTTGTCACAGGTCTCAGATGTGAAGACAGAATCTTCTACATTTGTACACTACTGACAAATACCACCAGTGTTTTTGACATATTCAACTTAGTGGTACTATTATGTATTATATCGTAAGTCTAACTTACATGTATAGAAGACAGATAAAAATCAATCCATCTCTTTCTGCGACAGTGGTCACAAGTGTATATCTTCTCCCAAACACACCGATTTTTGTCCTTCAAAGATGACAGATTAGGCAAAATTTTGTCTGTTGTGAGCAGCAAAATTCTGTCAAATGATGGAATGACAGACACTGCCTAGAACACCTAGTCCAGTAATATAGTATAATATGAAAATTAGTAGGGGGCATAAGGTAATGAGGTAATTGGTGACTACCTGCACATCAGTTTAACTTGAATGTTGTTTTGCTCAATGTTACAGATTACGTATGGAGGCCGTGTCACAGATGTGTGGGACCAGAGATGTCTGGGTACTGTTCTACAGCGCTTCTTCTCATCCAAGACTCTAGAGCCTGAGTACAAATACTCCACATCAGGTACTTTTAGTCTCTGTAATTCCAGTGTTACTGATGCCTGTAATCTCTCAAACTGTTTTCTACAGTTATTTTGAAAATTGCTAGATGAAGCACTTCTACATTGTATTTAGAACATTGCCCTTGTAGACTAGAGCATTTTACTTTATGTGCTGATGTTGGAATGATGGACATTTTTACCATCACCCTGATTCACCTATTCTGCAGTTTGTTTGCAAGTTACTAGATGGAGCAGTTTTATGGGCATTAGCTTTTTTTTGGAGACAATGTTGTTACAGTACTGTCTGCTTGTTGTAATGCTTACATTTTACTCATCACTCAGATCACCTATTCTGCAGTTTATTTGAAAGATACTAGATTGGGCAGTTTTACATGTATTTAAGACATAAAATTTTTAGCAGACTGGAATGTTACTGTGTTTTCTGCTTGTTGGAATCATCACATTTTACACATGACTCTGATCACCATTCTGTAGTTTGTTTTAAAGTTACTAGATGGAGCAGTTTTATTGAAGACATTACTGTGCTGTCTGTATGTTGGAATGATTGACACTTTACCCATCACCCACAGGAATCTACTACGCCCCTGAGACAGAGACTCTGCAGTCATACCGGCAGTACGTGGAGGATCTGCCCATCCTGGATGATCCTGAGATTTTCTGCATGCACGACAACGCCAACATCTCCTTCCAGGTCAGAACACCAGGATTTAAGATCTTCTAACATATATGTGAAGTCAATCCTCTGGTAGTAATCTGCATGAGGGCCACTTTCCCATTGGGACTGATTTTGGTAGTGCCTTAGATTACTGTAATTCACTTTATGCTGACAGTTGCAAAAGTTTGGAGTCTCAGAAAGATAGAATGAGGTGTTCATGGGATATGTTCCCTGTGGTGGCAGGTATACATGTAAGAGTCACTGCAAAAACCAGGAACACAAAACTACAGTAAAAAAAAATCAGGAATTACGGTATTTTACACAATACACATTCAAGCATTTAAGAATCCTGCAAAAATTGTCAGAAATCAGAATGAAAATTTACAGTTTAGCTTCTTTTGGATCAGTGTTAATGTTTAAAATACTAAGGCCACAAGTTGTCTTCTTGTTCTGAACACAAGGATACTAAAGTTTCCATTGTCTACATGTCTGTAGGTACAAGAGACAACAGTTTTAATATACCTCAATCCTTGGTTGATAACTCTCATATGTGAAGGCATGACTATTTCTCGTTCTTTACTAAGCTGTTTCCATTGTCTGTATCTGCAGGTACAAGAGACAACAGCTCTAGTCAGTACCGTCCTGGAGGTCCAGCCACGGTCGACAGGAGGGGGAGGGGGGAAGTCTGATGACGACACGGTGTACGAGCTGGCAGAGACCATCCTGGGGAAGCTGATGGACAACCTGGACGTGGAGAACGCAGACGCCTCCATGTTTGAACCAGACAAGAAAGGTCGACTGAACTCGCTGACTACCGTACTGGTACAGGAGGTCGACAGGTTCAACTCTCTACTCAAGGTCATCAAGGTAGGTACATTTTTGTACTGTAGTGGTTTAACAACATTGGTAAACATATTGTTTTTGCTCTGTTTCTTCTTCTTCCTCTTCTCCAAACCAATAAGGTCAATGACATGAACCAGATATCTGTCACCATGGTAACTAGTGTTAGGTTACATCATGTTAGCACGTCGGCAGAACGTACTGCGCCTGCGCAGAACTCTGGATTTTCGCGTTTTTTGTTGGATTTTTGGTCAACGTTGCATCAGAATTTTGCCTGTTGCAGAAGATATTTTTTTCTAACATAACATTTGAAAACTAATGTCAGAATGTTAACCTTATATGAGCAAATACAACCTCATATGAGACGTTCTTCTGAAGTGCTATGCACAATGCATTACGGGTTTTGTGCAGGTGCAGGTGCGTTCAGACGTGCTCATCATGTTACAATTTGATATTGCATTTTCAGGCAAAAAAATGTACATTTTGGGATTTGGTGAGATTGGTCTTAGAAATTTTCTAATCTGCACATTTTCCCCCAGAACTCGCTGAAGCAGCTACAGAAGGCCATCAAGGGTCTGGTTGTGATGTCAGAACAGTTGGAGATGGTGTACGTGGCCTTCCTGAACAACCAGGTCCCGGGACTGTGGGCCAATGCTGCCTACCCCTCACTCAAACCACTGGCCTCATGGGTACAGGATCTCATCTACAGGACTGCCTTTATTGATGTAAGTATGCCTGATAATACACAGATATATAGTGCAGCACATACAGCAAAATTGGTATTGATTATTATTGATGATAGAGACACACTGTTTTCAAACGGAAGCTTCAGTGGTTTCATGTCAAAACTAGAAATGTTTACTTCAAGAAATACTAAATGTTAAATGTTCTCTATTTTTTCAGAACTGGATCCGACAAGGCCTACCAAAGTCTTTCTGGATCTCTGGGTTTTTCTTCCCACAAGGTAAGATGTTCTATACATGTACTTGCTTCAATATTATCACTGTCAAGAAATCTGAAATTGGTGATCTGAGAAAAAATTTATAATGAAATTGTTGTCTTAACCAGAGCTTTGTTCTCTTCCCCACTGTTTAGGTTTCCTGACAGGCACACTTCAGAACTATGCCAGGAGGTATGACTACCCCATTGATGCCCTGAGCTTTCAGTTCAAGGTCCTGACTGCATACCGAGCACAGGCCGATGTCTATGAAGAACAGAAAAACCTACAGTTTGGAGAGGAGATGGAACTAGACAAGGAGGTAAGACTTTTCAATGTCCTGTGTTCATTTTGTAACTCTCAGATTTTACAGAAGTTTTGATACAGGTTCATTATCACTTGTCTGAAGGTCACTTTTGATTTAACAGTTACTAAAATCTGTTTATCCTGCTTCCCAAACCACAATTCACCTGCATTTCCAACAAAAGCTGCTAGGAGCCCAATTTGGCAAACTTACAGCTAATAGCCAAAAATCATAACAATGGCATGTCCACAACTTTAGATACAAAAATTGGAATCTCCAGTTCAGCACCAAGGAGAGATACCATGGAAAAAAACCTAACCATTTTTTCACATGGTCAAGACAGACAAACTCTTGTAGCTCAGTCTTGCTGGTAGACTAAACTTAGTTTAGTGACATCTCTTCCATATCTTTACACGTTAATTTTTGTCCATCAAAGATGACAGATTGGCCAACATTTTTGTCCATTGTGAGTGGCAAAAATTTGAAAGAAAGACAGACACTGGGCTAGAACACTGCTTGATGCTGAATTTGTGATGTGTTTTCCAGGCCACCATGACCAAAAATCTGAATGTTACTATTTCTTTACGGTTAATGCAGACAAAATCTTGTAGCTTATGCTTAGGTCACATTTCCAAACCGGGGCCCGGCCGGGCTGTTTGTATGAACGAAAAATTAATAATTCATATCAAGAATATACAGAAATAGTGCCAGTAATTGTTATTAACAACTTTTCTGTGTTCTGTTGTCTTTTTTGTCGTACTTTTCATTCCCAAAAGCTGCCCGGCTGGGCCCCGTGTGGGAATTGTGACCTCAGCATTAGTATTGAATTATTCTGTTAAGTCACAAAGGCAAGAACACTGCTTGATGCTGAATTTGTGTCATGTTTCCCAGATTGAGACGCATGAAGACGTTGTCCTTGTCCACGGCCTGTTCTATGTGTATTATGTGATAATTGTAAACCCTGCATCAATTCAGCGCTATAAAAGGCTGTGATTGCACGGGTAATGTTTGACCAATAAACCATTTATTATAAGTTGTGCTGTATTTTCCAGATTGATGCCCCAGAAGACGGCGTCCTCGTCCACGGGCTGTTCTTCGACTGCGCTCGCTGGGACGATGAGAACTGCGTGGTGGGAGACGCGCTGAAGGGCGAGATGAATGCCCCGTTACCCATCATGCACATGCAGCCCCGCATGAACTTCTCTCCTGACACCACCGACTACCCCTGTCCACTCTACAAAACATCGGCCAGGGCTGGGGTCTTGTCCACTACTGGTCAGTTAATAATTGTTTTTTGCTACATTTCTTCTTCTTCTTCTTCTGTTCCAAACACTTACCTCTGACCTGGCCAATGACCATTTGTTGACCATGGTAACTGGTGTTGGGTTACATGAGTTACACGATGTTGCAATTTTATCAGTAGGAGGGATTTATACTCCTGTCTGACCATATATTTTAAATTATATTCAATTATATATAGTGTTTGTATCCATCTTTACTTTTCAATTGGTAAATATTCCATCTCTTCCATTGCTTTTTGGTGAGAAATATATATATATTAAATGTGTTTGAGATATGAAGGGACGATACAATCATGATTTGAACATCATGTTCATGCATCAGTTTGTTTGTTTGTTTGTTTGTTTGTTTGTTTGTTTGTTTGTTTGTTTGTTTGTTTGTTTAGGACCTCCATTAGTGTGAATTTCACACTATTCTTCCTGGAGTCCGTAGTGAATCATCAGATAGTAGTAAAGTATTTGGACCATTGCACACGGGCGCAAGCCCCTACTCTTTTTCTGTTCAGCAAGCTGTCCCAAGTATGCAAATGAGCTTCATGCAAATTAACCAACCTGTCACATCCATTCCCCCCACAGGCCATTCCACCAACTTTGTTGTCCCCGTCTACCTTCCCTCGAGCCAGCCAGCTGACTACTGGGTCAGTATGGGAACAGCACTGCTGTGTCAGCTAAACGAGTAGATTGTGTGCTGTCAGCTTCCTGCCAAACTTTCAGCAAAAATGTACACTTTTTTGTGGTCGAAGAATCTTCATGATTGGTTCTTTATAATTTTGTAAATAGAAAAAGTGCCTCACAGCTGTTAAAAGTGCCTTAATTAAATATGAATTCCATTCCTGGTACATAGAATTCTGTTTATTGTACAAAGAAAGTGCCTGAGTATTGTGTTAGACATTTTGAGCCCTTTGTATATGTAATTCAGCACAATCTATGTAGAAAGGTAGACCTGTTTTGACTACTTGGGAACTGTGAAGTTGTATTTTTGTACTTGAATACATTTTGTGTTTTGATTGCAGTCCCACTATGTATACATTCAACTTTTCACAGATCACAAATTTCGGATCTCTTTACAGTAATAATATTGAGAAGCAAGTATAGAACAGTACATGTATTAGTGCCAAGGACTCATAGTAGAGGATATTAATGTTCTCATTTTCCAGAGAAAAATTCTAAAAACATTATGTTAAACCCCCAGTCATAAGCTGGAAGGTGAAGACTATGCATTCAATATAAAGTGTGCTGCTATCAGTGTGTTGATTATTATATTATTTACACATTTCAGGCTGTTTGAAGGATTATCTTTTGACTGCTGAAACGTTAGTGTTACATTAATGTTAGTTTATGATGAGTTGTGTGGTGTGTAATTCTATTTGGTATGTATCAATTCTGATTGGTTGTAAAATAAGCAAATACAAGTTGATTTTTGTTGTGAGAAGAGATATGATTGTCATTTAATGGTGGTGGGATTTTGTGTATATTTTTGATGTCAGCAAAATGAAACATTTTCCTGTTTTTTTCACACGTGTACTACTGGAACTGGAACACTGATTTACCTTTTGGTGTTTGTAGATTTGGTTCAACGTAGCACGTACTTGATGCTGGACTGTAAATGGTTTTGATGAAGAAAAGAATTCAATGTACATGTATTTTTCTGGTACACATTTCTTTATTGCTGCACTGTCAAGTTATGGTTGATTAAACTGGGATACTGTCAGATTGTGTGTGTGTTTATTTCCTTGTTTGTTTGTTTGTTTGCATTATGATGTAAACAGATGGTCATTCGTCATTCAGTGATTGGAGAAGATATTTATGATTCTGTTTCCAAAGATTGGCCTAGCTCATTTGCATGCTCCTACCTCAGTAATAGTATGGGTTGCCCCAAGTGTTATGATCACACCTTTTGCGCAGGTATAGAAAGGTACCTATGCTGCATGAACGCGTGCATTGAAGAAACTCACACTGTGTATTTCTTCACCTGTGGTACCCAAAGTTTACCTCCATACAGGTAAGGACTTCAATGTTTTTTGGGGGGGGGGATAGGGACGCATAGTCTTTAAAAAAGTAATTAATTTCCATACTATTACTGTATCATTTGTTCTCGAATGGTGCCCAATTCGGGGTCATCTAAGGTGACACAAAACGAACGCCTCCGCCCAACAATGCCTTGTTCTGGAACAACTTTCGAACCTAGCAACTGTACCGGTAAACATTGTAGACAAACCTTCACGGCGAACGCACGCGTTTCTTTCACGTGCCGTTTTGAGACCGTTTTCGTGAGATATCGTCAAGATTCTACATATTTTGGCGTCAAAAATGCCAAAACCAACAAAAGAGAAGACGTCCAGTGGCCATTTGGCGAAGGATCCCGCCAAATCGGCGATAAAGTCGACTAAACAGAGACACGGTCTTCACAGAGAAGATCTAGAGCAAAGAGATGAACAGAAAGGTAGGCAACATCACATCTCTATGTCAAATTCACCCGTACCCCATACATTCATCACTTATTACTATCGATATACTGTAACTATTACATGTTTTTATTGTAAGTATCAAAAGTATTCCTTTCTTAAACGCTGATTTGTCCTATTTCCCAAGGAACCGTTCATCCACGGCTTGTAGAAGAGACACAAGCTCTCTGTGCCCAGGCTGACAACAAGGTAACTACACTTACAGTCTCACAGTTTCAAATTTACCTTTAAAAAACAGACCGTAGTTCGTCCTCTGTTGGTACACGCTGGTATTAGATTGACAAGTTACCAACGAATATCCAATATGTTTGTTGTATGATTTAAAAAGCCATTTTTGTGATGTTGTTACGCACAGCATTCTCGCTTACGATACTAGCAATGTATAAGATAGTGAATGTGTACTTTAAACGTTATTCTGTAGCAATCACCTATGAACAATGTTGTTGTTCAGCACCAAGGACAGGATTATTCCCTAGTACGTAGATGTGTTGTAAGCACCAAGGACGTGTATTTTAACTGCAAGTAACAACATTTTCTATACTTTAACAATGCTGAAAGTTAATCAGTGTATATTCTTCTGTGTGATTTGATTTTCGCTAGTCTGTGTGTATTCACAAATGTATTTTATATTCACAGGCCAAAGTACCAAAGCGAAAGCACAGACATCGGGGGAATAAACCATACAAGTCGCAATGGCTGTCTAGTGATGAGTCCGAAGATTCTTCAGACCAAGAGCAGAGTCAAAGGCATAGCAGACATCACCACAAGAAGCACCACAAGACGTCTTCACGGGACAAGTCGTCTTCAACGTCTTCGGTTGCTCACCAGTCAAGGAAGGACAAGAAGCGGCCGTCTCCCCCACATGTTGTGCTGAAGTTACGGCGAGTGGCGTCCTCTCCTCACCCCACAGCCAAGGGGGTAGCCACCACAGGACGGCACAACAAAGAGTACGTCGTAATACACGGAAATAAGTCTAAGCCACAAATAGTTGACCATGGAGACACTGGTAGGCTGAAGTCTTCCACCTTAGACTTGGGGAAGTCAAGTCTTGAAGTGGGAAAAGACAGCAGACGTCGCATTTCTTACGAGGAGTATAAGACAAACCTCAAGAAGTCTGCTAGCCACAAGAGCAAGGTGGTGGCTGCTAGAGCAACTTTCGTACCCTCTGCGACCGCTCACACCTCCGAAGTCTCGGCTGAGACGAAGAGTGACACAAATGATCGCTGGAAGCTGAAAGCACGTCCGTTGGGTCAATCCGAGGAGCAGCGACTAGCAGAAGTCACGGCAAAGATCCGCGCCCGTACCGGGGCGATCTGTCCTCTCACGGCGGAGTGGTCACTCAAGAAGAAGCCGCTCTCTCAAACCCGCCCGATACCGGTCCAACCTCAGGCAGTTCCGCCCACAGAAACACGCCGTACTACCCACACTTCTTCCAACTTTGCTGCCACTGAAGGTGCGGGATCTACCCTGACTTATCCGGCTTCTGCTAGGGTACAAGGCAAGGCTATCACGCTCAAGTCACGCACGGGGATGACCCTCGCTGAGTTCGTCAAAATGACCAAGGAAAAGGGCGGGAAAGACCGGCTGTCCTGGTGGGTACGTCCCGGCCAGGACGGTATCTGGAGCGGGCGGGAAGAGGCCTTCTGGCAGCAGCCGCAGTACCGGATAGAGTCGGCTCTATTCCCGGGCAACCAACAGGTTAGCCACTCATGTCTTCTACAGTAAAGGCACCCAATGCAGTATTGGGGCTTGCAACCCCGAATTTTCAAAGTCAATATTCTAGTCACTTATCTACATACTGAGTTGAAACCACACTATCCCAATACCCTCGTGGAGAATACTCAAAATTCTGACGGAAAATGGTTACTGGAAGGGCCATTGGCTGATTTTTAGGGTACCACCCATAAAATAAAGGACTCATCTTGGGGCTTGTTTCTACAGCTTTAGATACACAAAGTATGATATACGGATTGAAATGTGCTAATGTGAAGCAGTATGTGTCAATATCATAAAGATTGCCTTATTCAGAATATTTCGTTTTGCTGCTCGGAAATCACATTGGATGCCTTTAAGAAGGCATTAGAAAACTTCTTGGATCGAAGTTTCCCCATACAATCGTTTTATACATTACGACTGAGACAGAAATACTATGCTGTCAAGTTCGTTTCAAATGCTACATCCATTCAGGTGTTTAACCATACTCGTTAGGAGCATCTTGTTTCAATGTAGTTCTTTGCTTCTCGCGTAACAGGTTTCCCGGACTGTTCAGTCATGCCACCCAGCGGCGACGGCTGTCACTGCACCATCTCATGACGTACCTCGGACGGAGAGCCAATCAGAACCTCTGACGTCACGACCTACACCTCTTGAGGTTCTACAGGTCAGACCTTAATCTCCTTAATCTAATCTTAATCTAATCTTAAGACTGTATCAATTTGCCACCCATTTGGGTGCAAATGGATACAGTCTGGCCAATGGATACTGCCTAGCCAGTTTGATACAGTCTTTTGCATCCACCTAAACATCTGCTTGGAGATTAGTTAGACCTCTCCCTAAGCTGACGACAAGACACGTTGATTCATTGTATTGATGACGATTTAGCCAATGGTCGATTGGAACGCAATTTTGAATCTGATTGCCTTACAGATGTGATTGACGTTAAACTTTGTTGTATAGAGTTAAAACTTTCGATCCAACACAAAAAGTTCTCTCACCTAGAGCTTTCGGCCAGTCACTGGTGAACTGTGTGACTGAGTGACTGGTCGAAAGCTCTAAAGTTTTAACTCTAAACATGTAACTACCAACATAGATGAACTTTCATGATAGTTAAACTTTGTTCTTGTTGTTTTTGTTGTTGCAGAGGGTGAGAGCCAAACATAAAGTCGGTCCCAAGGATAGTAAAGGCGAGGAGGTCGCTAAACGTCCAAACTCCCGTCCGTCCTGCGACCCAGAGCCTAAAGCCCGTCGTCATGGTAACGCCAATGGGATCAAACGTGCCGACATCCGCGGGAAGCAGGTGACGTCACGACCCAAACCTGTGACGTCACAAAGCAAACCTCTGATGTCACCGCCCACACCTGTGACATCACCACGCACATCCCTGACGTCACAAATCACATCTCCACAGGTCAGTTTTCTATCAATAACAATAAATAGTGGATACATTTTTATATTTCGTACTGTACGTTGTGAATTTTATTTTTTGATACATTGCAATAGCCGTCTTTATATAATCCCCAACATTTGTAACAAAACGAAAAATTGCGTTACTTCATGTCAGTGTCCTTACGTAGCAAGTGTGTCTGCATATGGGGTAACGTTAATGTTATTAATCTACATCCCCAAAACGGCCACAGTCACGTTAACGTCAGTTACGTCAGATCACTTAAAATGTTTTTTTTTTCAAGATTCCTTGACATCTATATGTACATGTGATGGTGATATCAAATGTTGAAGTACATTGAAACTTGTTTCGTCCCTTTTTACAAAAGGTAGCGGAGATTCCGTACCATTTATATGTGAAGGTAATATCAAATGTTGTTTGGTCCCTTTTTACAAAAGGTGGCGTCCTCGGACAACAACAACAACGCCCAGCTGCGGGTACCAGACGCTGACAGCCCGGCCGCTGAGCCCGCTAAACCCCGTGAACACTCGGTCTGGTCCAGCGACTCCGAGTCAGAGTCGGAGTCAGATGGCGAGTGCTGGTGCATGGAGTGTTTCAAGAGCCGCCTTATGGGCTGGGACGTTCCTCACGCCGACAAGTTTGTCGTCATGAAACAGGCAAGCTTACGTGAGAATCAGACAGCCACAGCAACACCGACAGCAGTGTCAGCAGTGGTCACGGCGACAGCAGAGGCCCAGGGTAGTGCCAAGATAGCAGGAATGACGTCTGTGTCATCGGAGATACCAACTCCTGAAGACAGACATGCTGCTGCCATGGCAACGATGGAATCAGCTATTCCAGAGACAGCATCTGCAGAAACACGGGGTCACGACAGCACCGGAACAGCAGTGTCGGCGCCTTTGCTTATGCCCGGAGAAGCTATCCTCTCGGACAGCACTGTGACAAAAACAGTGACGCAACCAATGTCGCAAGATGATCAGATCACCCTTGAGGAAGCGTTAGCAACCTTAGTGGCGTCAGAAAGAGAGGACAGTCCCAAAACAGCTGGAAAAGTATCCACAAAACGTAAGACACCAGCCCAGGAATCCTCAGAAGTGAAGAAGAATACAGAAGGGACGTCTTCATCGGGGTCCCAGGAGGAATGGTTCAGGGTCTTTCTGGATGGAGCGTTCGGTGACTTCCGCCCGGTGTCTCCAACGGGCTCTCTTCACTCCTCCTTGTTTGGGTCTTCCAAGTCCGAACTTTCACAAGAGGAGACAGGAAGCGCTGGCAACGGGAAGGTCCGCTCATCAATAGAAAGCGCACTGAGCAGTGCCTCTAGCGCCCAGTCCAGCAACGACACAGGCGACTCAAACGGCAAAATGACTGTCTCTAAGAAACGTGTACAAAGCAGCTCAGACACCAGCTCTAGCAAAGGCGGGCGAGACAGTGCCAGTACCACAACGACCTTGGGATCCCAGGCAAGCAGCGACAAATCACGTCGCCCTGGCAAAAGGATTGGTTCAAAGAAACAGGCTCGAAGAAGCTCAGATACCAGCTCTGACAAAACTGGGCGAGGTTACAGTACCAGCAGTACCACAACGCCCTCAAGCGCCCTGTCTGACAGCGACAAGTCTAGACGTGATGGACAAAAGTCTGGATCTAAGAAGCGGGCTCGAAGCAGCTCGTCAGATACCAGCTGTAGCAAACGTGGCCGAGCCAGTACCGGTACTAGTACCAGTACTTCCACCAACTCTCTGACAAGAAACGACAAGAAGTCTCGTCGTGCTGGCAAAAAGACTGCTCCTAAGAAGCGGGCAAGAAGCAGCTCAGATGGCAAGAGTGCACGTACCCGAGGCAGGGCCAGCATCAGTACCTCCTGCCTCCCGCCAAGCAAAAAGAGGCGGACTGCAAACAGCCCAGACATCAAGCCGTACAAAACCACACGCGCCAAACCGCCAGATCAGAACAAGCTGATCTCGATGTACTACAGCTGCGAGCCCATCGACTTCTTCGCGCCCGACGAGAAGCGAGACGACGGGGAGGAAGGCTACGAGACGCCGTGGAACTTCGGCGTCACCCCTAACCTCTCGCTGAGCCGCTCCGAGGGCGGGCTGTGGCACTCCTGCAAGCCGGTGAGGAGCCTGAGCAGGCCGCCGCCTCTCCCTCCTCCCCTGTACCGCCCCCGCCCGCCGTGGCTGGAGGACGTGGAGGACAGCCCTCCCCCGACCAGCCCGGGCTCACCGCGCCACCCAGACTACCCGCTTCGGTTCGGGGCCACCGGGAGGAGCAAGCCGACGCGCTTCTACACGACACCATATCGCAGAGTCGGAGTTCTCGAGCATGTCGGCTCCCCGCTACAATCTACATCTACGTGCCCCGACCACATGGTGGCCAGGTATCAGAACTATCTCTGGATCGAGCCTTATGACTGGAGCGGAACAGACATGTGTGACATGTTCGACGCCACAGAACTGCGATAGGAGACATGTGCGACATGTTCGACGCCACAGAACTGCGGTAGGAGACATGTGTGACATGTTCGACGCCACAGAACTTCAATAGGAGACCTGTGTGACGACAGAACGTTTTGTTTTCTTATTTTAAATTTGATATTCTTTGTCGTCTACTTGTATGTTCATTCATTCCTGTATGACCACAAAACCATTGTATTTAGTATGAAACATACTGGCTATCAAATGCATGCAGAACAAAAAACACAGCTTAAAGGTGTCCTAAATATACCCTCTATCTCTATCATAATATGACAAATCTGTAGAATGAACTTGTACGTTTATTTTGTTTTATTTCGTGATCAGTCAGTGATGAGGTACCACACATTGTGTAGTGTCAGTGGTGTGGTCGAACTGAGTGTGATTGTAAATGTTTGGAATAAACATTTACGTGCGTGATTCATTTGTGGTATATTTTACTGTAAGGAGACTCAAAACAAAACTATATCTCAACTTACCAGCAAGTACTAGTATTATATTTTGGGTTATAATATTAGTTATGATCACTGCACTGACTCTGAAAGGTTTATTTGTTGCCTGGTTGCTATGGTGCCTTGTTTCTGAAACATCAGTGCAACATCAGAAATCCACTAACAATAACAACTGAACTCTGATGTTTCCTTGGCATTTTACTAATTGTGGTAGAGTTCACATTTGAATTGCCACGTTCTAAAGGACTAGCACATCAAAATCTCACTTTGTGACACAAAAAGGCGTCGAGCTAATGCAGCTAATCTGTTGTTCCTCTATCCAATTACCAATCTTCCTCCTTTCAAAATGCTGTTGGCTATGAGGATTACATAGATAGACATTAAAAGCATGGTTACTATTTCAATCATTCTAACGCTAACACACTCCCACCACAGAAATGTACAGCACAATAGCATACAAGTCATGTCATGGATCTGGCCCTGGGTCTTCGTCGTAGGTTACTGCGTACGGCTGAAGCTGTGGTCCTGGGTCGTCATCGTGGGTCACCGCATTCGGCTGAAGCTGTGGTCCTGGGTCGTCATCATAGGTTACTGCATACGGCTGAAGCTGTGGCCCTGGGTCTTCATTGTGGGTCACTGCATATGGCTGAAGCTGTGGCCCTGGGTCTTCATCGTAGGTCACTGAGTAAGGCTGAAGCTGTGGTCCTGGGTCTTCATTGTAGGTCACTGAATATGGCCGAAGCTGTGGCCCTGGGTCTTCATCGTGGGTCACTGCATATGGCTGAAGCTGTGGCCCTGGGTCTTCATCGTGGGCCACCGCATTCGGCTGAAGCTGTGGCCCTGGGTCTTCATCGTAGGTCACTGCATACGGCTGAAGCTGTGGCCCTGGGTCTTCATTGTAGGTCACTGAATATGGCTGACGTTGTGGCCCTGGGTCTTCATCGTTGGTCACTGCATACGGCTGAAGCTGTGGACCTGGGTCTTCATCGTGGGTCACTGCATATGGCTGAAGCTGTGGCCGTGGGTCTTCATTGTGGGTCACCGAATGCGGTTGAAGCTGTGGCCCCGGGTCTTCGTCGTTGGTCACCGATACCGAGTCGTCGAAAGAGGTCTTTGCATACGGCTGAAGCTTGCCATCTTCCCCATTCCCTGTGACACCATCAGCATAGGTCACTGCATACGGTTGAATGGCGCTGTTGTCTTCCGATGTCTGGTCATGAGTAGAAGTCGGTCGTCCATCTGTAGCTGTGTTTTCTTCAGATGCTGGCAGATCAGCGACAGAGTAGACCACTGCATACGGTTCAACGTTCTGAGAAGATGCTCCGTTCGGTGCATGTTGTTCGGTGACGCCTCTTGCAGTGTTGTAGAGGGAGATGGCAACTGCTAATGCCAACAAAAAGAGGAGCGGCACAGCAACAGCAGTGATCATAGAAACCAGGTAGGACCTGTTGTCGTCATTTTCGCTCTCTGAGTCTCCGGTAAGCAAAATGACATGGTTCACTTCTGTTGTATACTCAGAGACTGTCACATTGTTTCTGTGTGGGTACATGGTATCTTTGTTGTCTTCAGTGGGGATCGTCTCATTGTACGCGAGTGTGTTTACGGATAAAACGGTTGCTCCAGGGACCATGCTTGCAGGAGATTCTGAGAGGTACATGTCACATATTCCACCAGGCCCCTTCCTTTGGCGAGACCTGTTTAAATCGACATCCTCTCTCAAGGTGGTGAGGAGAGTACCGCACAGTTCGGCCGGTGCAGCACACTTGAGAGACTCGGGTTTTGCAATGACGTCAAGGTCCGGCAGGTTGCAGATAAACCACGCTAGACTCTCGTTACAGTGTAGCTCGTTGCCTCCTATCCTGAGACGTAATCGCTGGCTTTCGTTCAGCAAAGACACTTGGTCATCGATGGTTGTGATGCGGTTTCTTGTAGGAACGCAAGCCTGAGAGCTTTAAGCTGGAGGAGTGCGGCCACAGGCACATACCGAAGGTGATTGTGGGATAGCGACAGAGTAGTAAGGCTATGTAGACCTCGGAATGCATTCTGGGATATGTGGAAAATCGCATTCTTCTCCAAGCGCAGGGTGTTGAGTGTCTCCAGCCCGAGAAATGTATCAGACTCTGTAGATAAATATAAAAGAATCCATGAAGACCATCAAAATTGTTGACCAAAACCAAAATACAACAAGAACAGCCCACATTATTAAATATCATCACAATCTACCAACAGACTCTTGACTTCTTGGATATCCCCCATATAGTATCAGAAAACACAGACAGCGAAAACAATGTCTCCGCTCAATTAATTAGTTGGAAGATTTTCACACAAAATATCAGATAAAGAGGTACGATTATGATACTTCATTGGCATTAATAGGCCAGAACCTACGGATATGTTGGGATATGCTGTTTGGAACTAGAACGGTAACTATTATATGTTGCTATAGATGAACATTGTTGCACATATATGAATGGTTTATTTGCATTAAAACACAACAACACTGTCCCAAAAAATGGCAGCCAGAGGCTGAATTGACATTGGAACATCACATTTATAGTATAAAACGTCATATTAAGCGATTAAAATAGGAATAAACCATTACATAAAATGTATATAAAATATTGTCAACGACGTTTCAAGTGCAGATTAATATCATAGCAGATAACAACACAGACGGACACTAGTAACACTAAAATAAGTCTTAGGTTAAAAAAAGTGACAGTGTTACATATTAAGCAGGCGGATCATGAAGGGAATGGCACTATTCTGGTAACGATATGTTATATCTGATAACGGTATACATCACACGGTATAAAAACTCCATCTCAACTTACCTAGGCTGGAGATTCGATTGTCATCAAGGCGTAGCAGCCAAATCTCTGAGAGACCTCGGAAGGCCCCTGGCTGGATCACGGAGACGTTTGACTGCGTGATCTGAAGTATACCAACTTCTGCGGCGCTAGCGAAAGACCGTTCGAGGATAGTAGAAGAGCGGAGATGCTTGATGAGAATTTCTCGCGTGCTTCTCTCAAAGTCGGTCGGTATGGCGTCAAGACACACAGGGAAACTGTACGTTCCTCCGTGACCAAGCCAACTGCAGTACGAACCCTTCGCGTCTTCTCCCGGACAGTGACACTTCACTGTGCGAAGTCTTACTAGCTGTCTTCCGGTTCTTCCCTTAACGTACTGACAGCTGGATGGACATCGCGAGAAAGCCTCGGGGCCAACATACAGATAGAACAAAACCAAGAGCACAAGGAGCGTCTTCCCTCCGGCCATTCTAATCGCAGGTAGAAATGTGTTCTGATATGTCTCAGTGCAAAACCTCACATATGTACAAGAGCCGCTTGAATATTAATTTCATTTGTTACATAAAGGTTTATAATCTGGGTCAGTTGTCAATAAAGTTTTGGATTAGTCTGAAAAAATTGCAGATGCTTGATGCTTTTTCTTTCATTTTAGATGTTTAAATATTGCGAAGAAAAGGTTTGCGAAGATTTTTATTTGTCTCAAAAACCTTTAATCTAAACATTTAAATGTTATGATACCAGACTAAGCTGGTGTGTTTTGCCGAGTGGCGGTTATACCGGCTATACAGATACAGACTAGGAATGCTTAAAGCTATAGCGGTGCCTATAGAAGATACGAGATGAAACGTATATGAAGCAGTGTGGATCATCTTGTTCCTACGCTTATATCATACCCGGTCCGGAACCCGTTATCGAACGCTTCCATGGCTTCCATAAAATGATTCGAACGCGTTTCGTCCTAACCGCGTGCGCCCCTTTCGAAAATTCGAATACAGAATCCGGACGTTGGAACTGATGTTGTTGCATTTGAGGGTTTAGGGGCACCAACTTTTGGCTCATCTTGCATTGAAAGGCGCGTTTTCTTGGGTGGGTATGATATAAATAAAATACAACACGGTGTATTCCGCATCGCCCTCGGTCCCGGCCCTCCCGCGAGTCGGATCGCCCTGCGGCCGTCGGGCGATCCGACCCGCGGGAGGGCCGATACCTCGGGCGATACGGAATACCCCGTGTTGTATTCTATATATATTGAACACGGGAAGAAATGTGCTGATATTTGTCAAAAAGGAAGAAGCACCTAAATTTGCCAAAATTTTGTTCGTTATATAAAAGCTCATAATCTGGGTCATTTACAGATTGGTCTGAAGGAGCTCCTATTTTTTCATTTTTGATGAAACGTGTTTATGCGCGCCTGATTAAAAGTAGAAATGCACTCTGATGTTTTTATGCCTAATCTCACAAACGTCATGTACCTAGATACATTATATGCATGTAATTTGTCATGCAAAAGCTCCTACAGATTGGTCTGAAAGAATTGCTCATGTTTTCATTTTGGGCATTATGCCATACTGATTGGATCGTACTCATGGGTGACATCTTCTGACGAGTTGCCTTCGTTGTGAAATCGTAGGGAAAGCTTACTCTCCAAGCAGAGGTTTGGGTTTTGGGGATATTTTTAGCGTGTTTTTAGGCTTTTATATCGGGGTTTCTCTTTTGCACTGAATTTTTTCCCCACCAAACCCAACAAAAATTCAGTGCAAAAGAGAAACCCCGATAAAAAAAGCCTAAAAACACGCT